ACATCAATAACACTGCACAATCACATGCTAAAGTAATGCACTGAATTGTCACCTCTGCTCAAACATCAATAACACTGCACAATCACATGCTAAAATAATGCATTGAATTGTCACCTCGAGTCACATGCAATTTCAATTCCACTTTAACTCACATGCAAACTTACCACTACCATCCAATAATGACTTTCACATTTTCTATATATACCTGTGTTATTATAAACGGAAACAATCCCAAACACACCAACTACCTAACCAAAATAAAAATGTCTTTCATTTCTTCCACCTCAAGCTCCTCTTCTGATGATTTCTCCAAAAATCATGAATTTGATTGCTTAGTTGATGAGTATGTAGCAAATCACCTACCTCATAGATTACTTCCTCCAGACCAACCACAAGAACCTCCACTAAATAATGAAACTGAACTATCAACGGAGCCCAAAAGGGATAGGGAAAGAGAAAAAGGGCATGTGCAACTATACAACTATTATTTCGCGAATAATCCAGTGTATAACGACAACCAATTCCGACGTAGATTCCGTATGCAACGGTCATTGTTCTGCCGCATTATGAGCAAAGTGGTTGAGGGGGATCAATTCTTCCAGCAACGTCGAAATGCAGCTGGGAAGCTTGGTTTATCACCGTTGCAGAAATGCACCGCTGCAATAAGAATGTTAGCGTATGGCGTAGCCGCAGACGCTGTGGATGAATATTTACGTCTCGGCCAAACAACCTCTAGGCAGGCATTGCAACATTTCTGTCAAGGGGTTATTTCACAATTTGAAAGTGAATATCTACGAAAACCTACAGATGAAGATTTAAGGAGAATCCTTCATCAAAATGATCTGCGTGGTTTTCCGGGGATGATTGGTAGTATAGACTGCATGCATTGGGAGTGGAAGAATTGTCCTACTGCTTGGAAGGCACAATATGCTGGTCGTAGCAAGAGTGCAACTCTCATTCTTGAAGCTGTTGCTGATCAGGATCTATGGATTTGGCATGCGTTCTTTGGAATGCCTGGGTCATGTAACGATTTGAATGTCCTTTACCGTTCACCGGTATTTGATGATGTTTTACAAGGTCATGCACCACCCATAAATTTTACGGTTAATGGACATCAATATGAGTTGGGCTACTACTTGGCCGATGGGATTTACCCGAGATGGCCAACTTTTATACAGGGTATAACACATCCTCATGTTAGAAAAGACAAGTTGTTTGCTGATCAACAAGCAGCAGTTCGGAAAGACGTCGAACGGGCTTTCGGAGTTTTACAAGCTAGGTTCGCTATACTACGACAACCAGCACTTGCATACGACGAAGATATTCTCTGTGATATTATGAAAGCCTGTATAATAATGCACAACATGATCGTCGAGGATGAACGACACAACTACGCACGTGCAGATGTTTTGAGACGATACTACTAAGAAGATCGACCACAACGTACGGTGAGGCGGGCAGACCCGAGCACAAGTGCCACGGTGTTTAACAACGAGCCATTTGAATTCAACGTCGGGCGACCACCCAACATTGATTTCAACACGTATTTGGAGAGAAGGATTTCCCTTCGTGATAGAGAAATTCATTCATCTCTGAAACAAGATTTAGTGGAGCACATATGGCAGAACTTTCGTCATAATGCGGTTGAATAAATAATTTTTTAGTTTGTTATTTGTAACCGTATCGTTATTTATGTTTTAATACTCGTGTTTGTATTTTATTTTAGTAGAACCACTTTTATCTAGTTCGTACTTGTACCGTTATTTAACATCCCATGTGTTTGTATTACCGTTATTGAAGTTCCCATGTGACTATTTAATGTGTTCATTACAAAAATGTGCTACTAATTCAAATGTTAAATTATAAATAAAACGTAATTGAAAAATAAAAAAAATTATTAATTATAATTAAAACGTAATTGACAAATAAATAACAATCTTATTAAGTTATAATTGAAACGTAATTGAAAAATAAATATAAAAATTATAAATTTTTATTATATTATTTTTAAACGTAATTGAAAAGTAAATATAAAACTTATAAATTGTTATTAAATTATACATTTTTATTAAATTATTTTTAAATGTAATTAAAAAATAAATTATTTTCACATATTTTAATTGTATTGGAAAATTAAATATGTAGTATAAACATTATTTCAAAATAAAGATAAAATAAAAAGATGATGTGTATTATGGTGGGGTATAGTAAATAGTGGAGGAAAAAGTGATGAGAGGTTTTTTTTTCTCCTCATTGATGTAGTGAAAAAAACATTTGATGAGAGAAATTGTATGGGAGGAGTGAGAAAGTGGGTAGAGAGAGATTGAGAGGTTTTTTTTTTCCTCACTGCTGATAGTGGTCTTATTTTTACTCGTGAGGGCTTTTCTCCTCACTGCTGGGAGTGCTCTAAGGAGTACCAAATTGGCTTAACTACGCTATTTTTTTTTTTTCAAACAATTTTAGGAAATTATCACTTCGTATTTTTCTTTTTAAAACAATTTCGGGAAATTATCTTTTATATTTTTTATCCTTTCCTCAGGTCAATTGTAAAAAAATGGTTAACACGTGCACCATAGGTAATCATACTTGGGGAGCTTTTTTGGTTTTGCCTTATGTCACAACTATAGTGGTTGCGCCCATATTGATAAGAGAAAATTCGTAAACAAGTATTTTTAACATACAAATATTCGCACATTATTCTTAAGAATTAAAAAAAAAAGGCAATAACAATAATGAGGGCAAATAAGTAAATAAACATATTAAGGGACATAATTGTCTCAACACTATTTAGAAAAATAAAAAATGTATATTTAAGGATAACTATGCAAATAAATATTTTAAGGGACATAATTGTCTTAACACTAATCATAAAAATAAAGTAACAAATATAATATAAAGGTAAATATGTAAATAAACATTTGAAGGGGCATAATTGCCTCAACACTATTCATAAGCGTTAAGTTATACTTTTAAAAAGGTAAGGGAAAAGCGTTCCTAAAATAGAATATGTGCCACGTATCACCCTTTTAAGCTCTTTAGTTTTTATTTTTTGTATTTATGAATTATTGATATTAGTCAACCATAAATTAGTAACAAAGTTTAATTAAATTTTTAACATTTGAACTAGTTTTTAATGCCCTGGTTATTACCTGTATTACAATAATTGTGAATGATATTCATGATTTAAATCTCATACTTATAACAATTGTGCATTTGTGCATGACATTCATGATTCAATCAAACTATTCAAAAAAAAAAAAAAAAACACTTTTATTGATTTTTTGTATATTATGTTTCTATATATTAATTAACCTTGAGATCAAGAGTTCGATTCTTATATAAATCATGTTTCTAAATTTTTTTTAATGTGTAATGACATGAAATATTAAACAATAAAGAAATTGGGAGGGTATCATGTGGCATGTTAATTTGCTTCGAAACTAGATAGATATATATTATTTTAGGAATAATCATTTAAAAAAAAAAGTCACCCCACTTCCCCACCAGCCCAATGCCCTCCTCGCCTTCTACCCCATCGGCAGCCAAGTCCAGCCCCACTCCCTCATTGTCCCGCCGCCCTCCCCCTTCCCCTGAACCACCCATCCTTCCTCCCCCCCAAACTCCCCCCTCCCTTCTCCCTAGAAAACCCCTCCCCCACCCCTGAAAACCACCAACCGCCCCTCCCCTATCCCGAAACCCTAGCAGCTAAGGTTTTTTTTTTTTTTTTTTTTTTTTTTTTTTTTTTTTGGGGTGGGGGGAGGGGGCGGTTAGGGGTTTCTAGGGTGGGTGAGGGGTTTAAATCCCATGCCCCCTACATGTTATTGTATTGCCTTTATGGCTCGTTTAGAACCAAAAAAGTCACAAAGATGCCTACATCAACTTTCATTTTTTATAAAGTATATAACAAGTCTTCAAAAGTAGAGTATAAAATTAAAAAAGCTTTAAGTAATGTTTCAACCCAAAAATATATGTGCGGTCAACAGGTTGGATCTTGGTTTTTTAAATTGTTAGACTAAAACTTAAAGCCGACCTATAGATAATTGGACCCAAGCTGCCAAGTATGAGTTGGGTTAAGAACAATTGTCATCCCTAATTGAGATGAAACTAAAACTTACATTAAATTTTGTAGGAAAATTATACCATATAACCTTGTGTTTTATATGAATTTTATATGTAACCCTATCTTTTACCCTACATCCTGAGGTTATCCTAAATTTGCAAAACATCTAAATTGGATGAATAAGGTAACTCCATAAAATTGATATATATATATATATATATATATATATATATATATATATATATATATATATATATATATATATATATATATATATATATATATATATATATATATAAGGTAACTCCATAAAATTTTCAATTTTTTTTCTTCAAAATCTCACTACTTGAACACACTCTCTCTCCATTAATAGTGGATCCAAGCAATATAGTCTCCCACCACCACCTTCTTCTTTACAAGTTAAAAACTCAATTTTAAACCTAACATTTACCTAAAGAGTGTTTTTTCTTCTTTTCTATTTATTTTAACCGTTTTTATTTGAAAATTATTAATAGTGTTATCTTTTTCATCTAATTTAATGAGTTTTTGCAAGTTTATGGCCACCTCAATCCTTATGCAATATTATAAAAGTCATGGTTATATAAGAAAAACATGTAAAACACAAGGTTACATGGAGAAAAGAATAATTACTCTTGGATCAAAATAAGAATAATTATATAATTATATTCTTAATTCAGCATATATAGTAACACAATATAAATTAGTTAGAGTCTATTAATTTTGAATTACCAAGTATGCTTGATGCTTGCTAGAGGTGTCAATTTGGATGATCAGATTGGGTCTGATGAGGTCGGGTCGGGTCATTTTTAAAGTTGAGTCATATTCAAGCGAATCCAAATTTAAATCGGATATTTTTCGAGTAAGTTTCGAATCAGGTCGAGTTGAACGTGGTTTTAACACCCTGCTTGCATACAAAAATCATTGACAATTAAGAAACAACCAAACTCCATTCATCAAATCCATCGTTGCTATAATCGCCGCCTACACCACTAAGCAGAACCCCAGTATCCCACTGCATAAAGTATCAAATTCTCTTTTTAACAATCAATGGCTGCTGCTTCTTCTTCCTCACTTCTTCACCAAACTTCAATCTTCTCTTCAATACCCACTAACTCAAACACTTCCCAATCTCACCAAACTCACAATCCAAACCCATTTCTTCAAATTCCCAGAAAACCCAATTCCCAAAAATCCCTCCCTTTTCTTCGTTGCACTTCTTGTGGAACTACAATGAGTTCCTCTGAAAATGACCTTAAAAACCCAGAAAAAGAGGTCAAATTGTGGGGTGGTAGATTCGAAGAGAGTGTCACTGAAGCTGTTGAGAAGTTTACTGAATCAATTTCCTTCGACAAAGCTCTTTACAAGCATGATATTATGGGTAGTCGTGCTCATGCTACCATGCTTGCTCATCAGGTCTTTACATTCATTTCTTGTTTAGGGTTTATTTCTTTTAGCTATCTATTGTGTATTTGTTTAGTTATTATGAATTTTGGCATGTGAATTAGCTATCTATTTGAGTAATGAGCTCAATGTATTGCGGGTAGTAGACTATTATGTGATTTGTGGTGATTTTGCGTGTTTTGTATACTACACGATACTATACACCTGCTCTGTATACAAGACCTGTCGGAACTTTTATACCGTGTTTGGAATTTTTGTTCTATTTATCCATGTTTCGCTAAAGTGATAATGGAATGCCCATTGTGCAAAATGGAATATGTTATCATAATGTTGATGATTTTGCTTAGTTATTTGAGGATAAGAGTTATTGCAGTAAGATTTTTGATTGGATTTGTTATTGTGAGTAGAGTAAATGAGGATCTGATTGCTGGAGTTATTGATGTTTTTATAGGGGTTAATTAGTGTCGAAGATAGAGATAGTATACTCCAAGGGCTTGATGAGATAAAGAGGCGTATAGAGGCGGGTGAATTTGTATGGAGGAGTGATAGGGAAGATGTTCACATGAACATTGAAGCGGCTCTTACTGATCTTATTGGGGAACCTGCGAAGAAGCTTCACACTGCACGAAGCCGGAATGATCAAGTTTCAACTGACTTTCGTTTGTGGTGTCGAGATGCTATTGATGAGATCATCAAGAAGATTAAAAAGCTTCAGGTTATGGCCTTTCCCTCTAATTGAGTTCCCCAAGTAATATCATATAACTTCAAATGAGCAGCTGCACTTGTATTTTCATTGCAGTTTACCAGGTTCTGTTTGCTATGTTAGCAGAGCTCAGCATGCATTGTTTATATTACTTGTTGATATTCCTTGCAGAATTTAAAAAATTCTCTATGATATTGAGGGTCAGAAACTTGATACGTCACCCTGCCTTGTGTTTATACATTTTATAGATCAACTTCCTCTTCTACATTTCTAACTATTTTGTCACCAAGTTCTTGTTCCATTGCTGCTTGCCTATCTGCGCAAAGTCTTTATATTATTGTGATAAATCATAAAACTTGTCACCAAGTTCTTGTTCCATTGCTGCTTGCCTATCTGCACAAAGTCTTTTTGTTGTTGTAATGCATATAATACCTTACATAGAAATCCTCACTAATTTTCGCTTAGCTAAAATTTCTTATGATATAACCTGCAGGTTTCACTTGTTACCTTGGCCTTTAAGAATGAAGGCTTGATTGTTCCTGGCTACACACACTTGCAGAGGGCACAACCTGTATTATTGGAACATCTTCTTTTAACTTATGTTGAACAGGTTTACATTGACATTTAAATTTTATGCTTCTGTAAAGAAGATTCTCTGATGTTCTTTCTTAATGTAATTTCCTAAGATTTTACGAGATAGACTGTTAATTGATACTGTTATATGCAGTTCCTTTCATTTAGTTATTGTATCTCTATATCACACTAAGTTACTTCCTTCTTCCGTCTGGTAACTGCAACTGTGCAAGTGTGCAACCTCAAATAGAGTTAATTCATGTTTTCTTGGTCTTCATCTGTAGCTTGAACGTGATGCTGGTCGACTGACAGATTGCAGAACTAGGTTGAATTTCTGTCCTCTGGGTGCGTGTGCATTGGCTGGCACTGGCCTACCAATTGATAGGTTTATGACTTCTGATGCTTTAGGATTCACTGCTCCCTTGAGAAACAGGTAATTTTCAGAATTTGATAGCAAGTAATCATAAATTGTCCGAGTTACTCAGCATTTTATTTTATTTACTTGACATGAAATCTTGCTCTATCTAGACCCGACTCCTGAGGCTGAGGGATCACTGGGTCAGCATTGTTTTATTCCTCTGTTCCGATTTGCCATGTGACTACTCTTTCTAGTAAATCTTCATGAAAATATATATATATATATATATATATATATATATATATATATATATATATATATATATATATATATATATATATATATATATATATATATATAGTAAAGTAGATGATGACTTGAGTGATGATCAATATAGTATGGATGAACTAACTTTTTGACTGTTAAAAGGTTTCATTGTAATAGTGTAAATATACTTGAATTACATTATGTTTCTTTTGTCTTGCAATCGATTGTGTGCTAGATTATAATGTCACTCGAATAGAGAGTATAGGCTCACTCCCCAAGATGATAGAAAAACCGAGCTTTTGGAATTCCTTGAAATAATTTGCATGCTGTTGGTTTTTAAGATTTTTTTATTTTAACAAAAACGTTTAGTGTGGGGCTGTTATATACGATGCTTGTTGCCACTGTTTTGCTGCTTGTATACCTCAAGCAGATTAAGCATTTCTTGTATATTTCTTCCATGACTATGAATTGGGACTCCATAGATTGTACCTCTAAACCAATTTGGTATAAGCATTTCTGTAATGGCTACTTTCGTTTTCTTATGTGAAACAGCATTGATGCAGTTTCAGATAGGGACTTTGTGTTGGAGTTCCTTTCAGCTAATTCTATCACAGCCATTCATCTTTCCCGGCTTGGTGAAGAGTGGGTGTTATGGGCCTCCGAGGAGTTTGGATTTTTGACTCCTAACGATTCAGTTTCTACTGGAAGTAGTATAATGCCTCAGAAGAAAAACCCAGATCCCATGGAACTTGTTCGTGGAAAATCTGCACGAGTTGTAGGTGATCTGGTAACTCTTCTTGTACTGTGCAAGGGACTTCCCCATTCTTATAACCGTGATCTACAGGTACAAGCTGATTATCCTCAATTTACATTCTGAAAGATTATATCTGGAGACTACTTTTCTGGTTTTCTTTGTTTCTTTCCCATTTGGCTCTTCTGACCTAATGCTTCTCATTTGTCATCCGAACAGGAAGATAAGGAGCCTGTCTTCGACAGTGTGAAGACAATTGTAGGAATGTTGGAAGTAAGTTCCGAGTTTGCACAAAATGTTACCTTCAACAGAAACAAAATTGAGAAATCTCTGCCCGCTGGCCATCTTGATGCCACAACAGTTGCAGATTATCTTGTAAAGAAGGTGGGAAATTTCAATTATTTCAGGAATGATTTCTTTTTGGTTATTTTCTCTCATTTCATTATTCTGCTTAACTGTGTTAGCCTATTTTAAACCATATTATTTCAATTAGCTTGTGTAAAATATCTATATTGCTGGTCATATTTTCTGCAATGTATTTTTCTGTTCACTATTCAACTTCACTCTTGTTATTAAATTTCCTAGTTTCCTTTCCCTCACATTTTCTAATCCCTCTCATTCTACATATTCCAATAGGGAGTACCCTTCAGAACTGGTCATGATATTGTGGGAAGATCCGTCGCATTGTGTGTCTCTAAGGGTTGCCAGCTTCAAGACCTAACCCTTGACGAGTTTAAGAGTATTAGCCCTGCATTTAGTGAGGACGTGTATGACTACCTTGGCGTGGAGAATTCTGTCAAGAAATTCTGTTCATATGGTTCAACAGGGTCAGAATGTGTATCAAGTCAGCTTGATTTTTGGGCCGCACAGCTTGAGATAGACAGGAGTGCATACAACAACCAGTGATTGCTCTAGCATTGTCCAGAAATTTAAATTTTCTCCTTTATTTTTGTCTGGGATGCTTCACTTGCCCTTTCTAATTTTCAAAAATGTATCTTTATTATTTTAAACTAGAAAGTACCTTGCTAATGCACAAGATATCTGCAAAGTAAAATAATGATGAAAGCTATTGTAGGTTGAAAATTTAATTTTTATATCAAGGGAGAGTTTTTAGCTAAGGAAAAAAAAGAGTTTTGAAATAAACTGAAATATGTGGTTTTTTTTTTTTTTTTACAACAAGATGTCAAGATGTGAGAGTTTAATGTCAATTTTTTTTTTTAGTTAAGGTATGGGAAAAAGAGAATAGTTTTGTTTTCAGTATACCATTATAAATATAATTGAGCTATGTAAATTGAATAAAACTTCTAAACAAAAACTTGAATAAAACTTCAAAACAAGATCCATTTAGAGTGTACTCTGAATCTATAAAGCTTATAATAAGTATTATTCAAGTTTTTGTGTATGCCGCAATTCATTTTGGATTGCGGCATACACAATCAAGCGCAAACTTATAAAACTTCTAAACAAAAACTTGAATAATACTTCAAAACAAGATCCATTTACAGTATACAAATTTCATTCAACTTCAGACTAATGTATACTTCTATTATTAAACAAACTCATGTTAAAAAAGAAAAGTTATATCTAAAGTATGATTGTTAAACGGATATTTCAACTATTTCAAGTAGGGACAATATTTAGCTCGGACATAATTTAATTATAAGAGCCAAGATCAAATAACAACATTTTACAATTCTGTGCAAATGAGGCACCTACGCAATGCAAGGGCATAACAATTACTGTAGTTGTTATGTACGGGTTACATTTTTACAGCATTGTGAGGGAAAACTGAATACACTATTTTTATTCAGTCTAAAACTTCTCAAGCTTGATAAATTTTGAAATAACTACAACTCTCGTATTTGAATAAATAGATGTCAGCCAAAATCAAAGAAGCATTATAGTTGCCACCGACCAAACTGGCACCTGTAATCAGTAGTACATTTCATTGGATGTTAGCAGTTTCCTGCATATAAGTCAATACTACCAATTTGTAGCCTTGAGGTCGACTTAACATCTCGGACTGACAGAAAGGTGAACCTGCAAGACTCAGCATTTAATGTATACTCGGGTACTTTTCTGCCAAGGGAAGGAGGGGAAAGGGGAAGGAGGAAGAAGGGGGGGTGGGGTGAATACCTTATGGCGTTTGATTGTGTATGCCGCGATCCAACCCTGTACAGTTTGCGCTGGAAACGGCTATCAAATTTCTGAGAAGTTTGTCTATCCAAAACATACCAATTGGATCCTCCATCACTGCTTCCTTCAACAATCCTGAAAAACATTTGCAGAAGATTGGGACATAAATATTTACAGATACAAAAAGCTTATGTTGCACAAACTTGGATTTAGGTGTCGAGTCTGACACAGAATCGGATCCTTTGACACTCCGGATTTTATAGTATTTCATATAAGGCCACTAGCCCACTATATATTTGGGTGTCATATCGTGTTGAAGTGTCGGAGGAGACGTACAGCAGAGTGTCGGAGTAAAATAGCCATAAGATCTAATAAACAGAAGCTAGGATCAAAGGGAACAGGCATTAGAATCCAACCTTCATTTCCATGAACTTTCCTTATCAATGCTTTTCAATAGGCTTAGAAAGAATTATCATGTACTTCATGTTTGTCACTTTTGGGAATGTGTTTTTTAATATAAAGCACTTTGGAGAGTGATGATTAATGATAACCAGAGGTAGTACCCACAAATGTTGCATTGCTATAATAATCTATACTAATGTTGTGTTAAACAGATGTTGCATCTCAAATCCATTGAAGTCCATATGATTGTGTCGGACCAGTTTGTGTCTATGCACGCACAACCACCCTGATGGACTCATGATTTACTCTAGTTATCAATAGACAAGTGCTCGTGCTGTTATGTGCATTCAAGTGCCAACTTATAGGCAAGATTGTGTGCATGATGACCATAACAACTAATATCAGAGTTAAATTCAAATCTAGGCATCAAGAGATCTGTGTAAGCATCTGAGTGACAGCTAAACCAGATGACAATCATCTAAACAAACTTGCGTGGCTATAAGGAAAGTCCAAAGAAGGAAACCAGCTTGAAGAGAAAGTGATTGGGCTATCAAAACAAAACAGCTTGAATGACTGCGATCGGCGACTTATGCAGTGCATGCACGCAAAGAACTTAACTTTGTACAAGGGTTAGTTGATGAGATACTTGATAAATGCACCACCCTAATGCGTGACAACAAACCTAAAGGGTGTTGGCAAAAGGAGAATTAAACCAGCTAAACCTCAAACGTTCGGTGGCACAAGAGACTTTATAGAAGCCGACATCTTCATCTTCAACATGAAGTACTCTATGGTCTATATAGTAGTTCATTGTTCAACATAAGGGCTCCATTTTATGTGAAAGGATACTCTATTTGCATGCTTGAGATTGGAGACATGTTTAAAAAAAAAAAGATTGGTTGTTCAAAAGTATGGGTTCAATGTAAATATGGTCACGGCAAAAAGTAGACAGCTTGTAGCAGCAACAAAGGGAAATTCTTTCAAAGAGATATCAAGGGAACAATAATAAATAATTCAAAAACAAGCACCACAAGAAACACAGAAAATGAATCTAAGTGAGTTCAAACGATGAAGAAAGTAGGTACCAAAGCGAGGGAGAAGACTTGTGAAAGAGTGGGGATTTTGTCTCCTTCCAGCAAAAGAGACCCCTCTCCCCACAAGACCTTCATGTGTATACTATGTCACAGGCCATAATAGCGGTTTGCGTGTCGCCAGAAGGAAATAATCAACTATGGCCAAAAGAAGTCCACTGTGTCTATGAATTCTGCCAAGATGACAAAAAAGAATCAAAGTTCAAGGCGCAGTTTACTTGTTCTCATAAGAAAAGAGATGCCAAACTAATCTTATTCCCCATCACTCAGCTATACAACTGGACAAAGGGCTCAAGATGAATGAGCCCATGTTCCTTATAGTCTTATTGGTGATGAGGATAGCACTTGGTAACTTGTTCAGCTACTAAACATACTCCAATCAATAAGGGCTATCAACCATAAAATTAAACTTTAACATAGAGCTTACCTACATGCCCTTATAAGATGGCTCTTTCAGAACTTGTTGGAGGAAACAATTGGATGAATTATTGAAGGCTGGAATTATTCACCCCTCTGAAGCTCCTATGGTACACTCATGATATCCAAGGGAAAAAGTCTCCTATTGTGCAATAATAATTACTGAAACAAGGTACAGCACAAAGCCATTTCCATTTCCTTTGATGGCATTGACTAATTGGGGGACGCAGTGTACTTCACCAACTTGAAATTGAGATAATCAATACCTCTCAGAGGAACGAGCTGAAAACAGCTTGTGTCACAAATTGTGGAGCACTTGAATGACTTGTCTTCTTGTTCATCCTAAAGAATGCATCTTCCATGTGATGAACAAGTCTTCTATGGATACCGGCATACCGCAACAAGTTTGTAATTGTGTACTTGGATGAAATTATGATCTTTAGCGGGGTGCTGGAAGACCATCTTGAACACAAGGTAATTGAGAAATTTAGGGAACACCTTCAGTTCTTGAAGTGAAAGAACTGTGTCTTCACTAATAGGTAAGTCAAATTACTTAAGTCATCTCGTCAGAGGAGGCTGATAAGGATGAATACGAAAAATACACAAACTATACATAATCGGCAAGGTCCAAAGAACATTTTAGAACTAAGGTCATTTCTTATGTTAGCTAACTACTATAGGTTGTTCATAAAATGTAAGAAGGGACTCACTTGGAGGGGAAGATAAGATAAATCTCTCAATGAGTCCTATGAGGTTTGATCCCTAGACCGTAGGGATATGAGTTGAGGAGCCATGCCATTACTCCACCACCTCAACCTCAATGGTTCATACAGAGATATTCTAGAGAGATCATTGAATACACTAGCTTAGCTCTTTTGTTTTTTCATTCTAAAGATCAAGTTATTTGTTCTCTGTCCCATAGTTGTACTTATTCAAAAGCTGGTATTTAATTTACATAGTAATATTTCGCGTATATTATTGTAAACTATTTGCACCACAGGATTTGGGGGGGGTGGGATATGTAGTAGTGTTTTGTACTGAACATACCAATCCATTGGATCTCTCTCTGGAGCATCATTAGCAGACATTAGCTCATATGCCACAACCTCACACATCTGCTCCTCTTTCAGTTTGTATGCAATCCAACCACCTGCAATACCAAAATCAAAAGGTAATGTAAGGATAGATCACATATGCAAATATAACATTATGAGCTTGCAAAAAAAGAAACATTGGATGGCGCAAAGCCTAAGCCCCAAAAAGATTGACTAACATGAATCGTCACAAGGAACTGTCCACAAAAAACGGAACAAAGAAAGAGTAGTGACAAAATGAAAGTAGACAAAATTAAAAGAGAATAAACTTCAGTGACTGTAGCCCATCAAAAAAGAAAAGGGGAAAAAAAAAAACCTTTTGCTCCATTTGGTTCTTTCCATTTTGATGACTGTAACCCATCAAAAGCTGATGTAGCCTGAAAATACAGTTTATATATATCGATGAAAAGATCTTAGAGATATGAACCTCTCACCACACATATGTAGAGCAGAAAACACAAAGATTCCATCAGTTGACTTACAATTCCAAAAGGAAGCTCTTCTCCACTTGCAAGGACTGAACCTGAATGTATTCTATTCAACCTCAGAAGCGGCAAAGAGAGAGAATCTTTTGAAATGCTGGGACATTTAGCAAGGCTCACAATCATATCCTCCAGAGCATCTAGTGCAACCGGCAAAGCTAATGAGGTCTTTATAGGATGGCCAACCATATGCACAAGCACCTCATTTTTAGTGTCGAGCTCAAACTTAAGATAGAGGGTGTTCATTAGCTTGCCAAAAGCAGGCAATAAATGATGCAAAGAAGGTAGTAGACCATATGAAGTTTTAATTATCTTTCTAGATCTAAAAGGACACTTCTGACAATCTGTCAAGATCCTTCTTAGGGTCTTTAGGGCATCAACCCCACCGGAGACTGAAAGAGAGCTATCCGCAAACTGGGAAATGACAACTCCCAATGAATTATAAATATCAGAAACATGCTCATCGACACACAAACGAACAGGACAAGTAGTGCAACTCAAGCCATCCTTGCCAGATTCATATTCTGATCTTGAGATGCGCCATTGCTTGTCCCCACTTAGTCTCCCAGGTAGTGAAACAGCAGCATCACCCTTCGAATGAAGATCTCTTTCAATAGCTTCTTTCTCAATTTTGTAACGTTCTTCAAGCAAAGATATCTCTTCTGGTTTCAAAACCTTTCGGCATTGTTTTGTTAGTTTTTCCAAATCTTTGCATAAATTTTGCTCTGTTGTAATATTCCGGTGGGTTAGAACCTGAAAGATATAGAAGGGGGATGGCAGTATAAGTTATGACAGAAGAATACAAGATCCAAGAACCATAATCAGTGTTGGCACCCAATAAAATACTTTTACTTCAAATTACCTCATGCCACTTTCTTGTGTAACGTTTTGTGACATCATATACCCCATCTTTTGCAATAGCAAACACATAATTTAATTTTTTATTCCACCTATGCAATATAGGTGCTAAATTACATTAGTTATTGAACAAAGAAATCATTAGAATTCAAATTTAGGTTAATGTGAGAACCAAGGCTACGGTGAGAACCACTTAACCACATAGGGCACATGTCATATACTCATAGAAGTATAAGGTACATTAGACATTTTTTGAATTTTTCATATGAGAAAAACTACTTTACGAGAGAAAAAAAATCAATATTAAAATATATGTGATGTACCTTTTAGCTCTATGACAAGTATTATATAGTGGTAAGACATGCACCTTACAATTTTGTTAGAAAAAAAATTCCGTTTTTAAAACTTTGGATATGTACCGTATAAGAGATGTACCTTACAACTCTGTGACATGTACCCCATGTGGTTCTCACAGTTCAAATATTAGTATATACACACACAGACACGAGGAAAATGGGAGTACCCTTTTTCATACAACAACGGATTGTCATAAATTCCTTCACAAGGATCAAGATGCATCCACCTGAGTATAAGAAGATACAAGTCCACCCAAGTGATCAGTCTTCCAAAAGCTATGGAAAAGCACAAAGGAAAGAGGGAAAAAACAGAATGGAGGTTTCACACAATTTATTCATGAATAATTTAACCAAATGCCTACAGATTACCATGTCCAGGAATACCACCTTCCTAAACTTAGAATGTATGTACTTTTGATGGATGGTAGTTATGCAGTCAAAAGTATCAAACTTTTGCCTTAATCATTTGTAATTTTTTTGTCAAGACTAAGAAAAAGTTCAGCGACAAACAATGCCGTTTGAGGAATCTAGCTCCCTTTTAACATAAATAAGGATGAAGCATTATATTTTAAAAATGACATGAGACAAACTTAGGGGATGTCAATAGAGGTACTGAGATTATTGTTTGAAATTTAAAAAATAAAAAAAATAAAATGCTGAGGGCAGTAGACATGATTATAAAAAGCCAAGGGAAACTGCATAAAAAAATTTCCAAACTTCATCTTTGGTTTCCCCAAAACGGACCACAAACATCAAAAATGCATATCTGTACATAAAAGCAGGACAAATAATTATCTTACCTCCCTAAATGATGTGAAAAACACTGTCCATACATGATCCGTGAAATCCAAAACCTGCAATAGCAAATATTTAAGCTGACAATTCTCTCCAAAAAAACACCTAAAAGACAAAAATGCCATCTCCAAGACAATTCCATTAAAGTGCAAGTCTTTAGACACAGAGCTACTAAATGCTGCAAATCAATTAGCCGGTCTAAATGAATACCGGCAAGGTAATATTCAATATGTGAAGCACAAGTTGTAGTAATTGAAAGAGAAGGATGAAAGTACATATGAAACACAACTGCCACTCCACCAGGAATGATAATAGTTTGTAATGCCTTGCTACTTTTTCCCCCTATTTTTTTCTGTGTTCTGGGGCCTGGGGGTTAGCTGAAGTAACCTTAAGCACTAGTTGAATCATTGACATAGAAAAACCATCCTATGATCAATGCTAAGGTTGCAAGTCTAATAGTGATAGGTCTTGAGTTGGATAGTGGAGATACAAATTAAGACAAAACAAAGTGATAGTGATTAAGGGCAGTACATATATACAGCCCTATACCTGTTATTTGGAAGGTCCACTTTGTTAATTTCTACAGCTGGTATACTGTTCAAGCTCTGTGGGCGTGTCCATCCCAGAGAGGCCAGTGCATCCATGCAGAGTGCCCAGCACTTTTTTGAAGGCTGTTTCTCATGATTGTGGTTTCCTTTCTATGGTAATTTAGAACTCTAGTCTCTCCTTTGCATATAAATTTTTATTGTTGAGGATTAAGCAATAAAATCATAGACAATGTAATATTCTAGAATTAATAACAGTCAACTTACTGAAGGCAAGGATTAATATTCTTCCATTGCCATGGGAGATTAGAAACATTATAAGGGAGCTTTGTGAAGTCTTTGTCAGAGAAGGGTTTTGCAATGCCCAATCTAGGGTGATTGTGAGGTGTGTAATTACTAATATTTGTCAAATAGATTAGTATACATGGTGCGATTTTCACCTACTTAATATGTTCAGGCTTTCTACGTATCGTTAGTGTTTGCAATTGTCTTGTAATTTTGTACTTTAGATCTCTTTCATTTATTTTTTTTATTTGTTTGTAACTTTCAAGACATTACAGTAAAAACATCTTCAAAACACTTGACGCCATTCACTCAATTAGGCAAGCATGACATTGTCTTGTGATGATATACAGAATATTGAGGTTAACAACTATGTCTTAACAACCAAATATATAGCAAGAATGTCATTCAAACTAAGAATTGAATGACAGCTGACACCAATAAGTAACTCTCTCATTGCTTGGTTGGCCGTGCACAACAGGCTTAGAACTAGGCAGATACTTCTGAGATGTGTTGTTTGTGAGGGGCTAGCTACCTTTTATGTCGTGAACAGGCTGAGTCTGAAACACACCAGTTTTTCAGATGTCCTTATAGTAGCAGTTGCCTGAAGTTGTTGCAATGGCTGGGGAAGAATGCAGATCAGCATTTTGATCTGAACATTGTTTGGGGGAAGTGAGGCAGGATGTTTAGAGATGCTAGGCAAAGGAAAAAGGGGTTTGCATCGTTTGAAGCTCTCACTTATCATATTTGGCATGCTAGAAACCATGCATAATGGCAGAAGGCAGTTACTAGACCAGAAGCTTTGGTCTTGAGGGTTAAACAGAAGATTTATTAAAGAATTCAGCAACTTGTTGATGACAAATGGAGTACTAGATCTTGTGATTGGCCGTACAGTGTAAAGAATTTTGTGTAGTTTGTTGTGGGTTTGGTTGATGCTGTTTGTTTTATACATAGGGTTTTTTTTTTTTTTTTTTTTTTTTTTTTTTTTTTTTTTCTAACAGCACATAGGGGGGGGGGGGGTCTTTATACATGTACATTTCTCACTTGATTGATACATATCTTATTTATCCAAAATAAACATAGGTAAAAATTGGTTTTGTTTGCATTATGCTTTATCATAATAATTGAATCTGGCACACTGAGCCAGGAGCCACAACTCTAAAGTTATGACTTATGAGAAGCTTGCAACATAACTTTAATTGTAGCAAATGATATACAGAAAAATAAAAGAGAAGAAAAGGCAAAAATATTTCAATATAATGTTAGCTTTGGGAAGGTAATAATTGCAAGAACCTTGATAATCAGCAGGCCAAATGAAAGAGGAAAGACAGTTGATAAAGACACTCACAAGACGTGACTCATAGCCAAATGCTCTGCAATACAGAGTAAAGCAGTTAGCCCACTCCCCACAACGCCCTTTTTTAGTTTCTAGGATCTGCACAGACAAAAGATACAAATTGAACAAACAGAAGCTAAGCACAAGAAAATAAGACCACATAAATAAAGTAAAAAAAAAAGTACCTTTATTGGGTCATTATAGCGTGGGAAACGAGTAATCCTCGAGCAGAAGCTGCAGCTGTAGGTTGACAGCAAAAGTCATGAGTATTTAGAGCACCAAATAAGAAACTATCAAAATACAATCACTAGAATAAAAAAATTACAATTTATTATAAAATTAATTCTTAAGCCACATAAATATACTTTTTGGGACAGCCATATAAGCAATTATCAAAATCTAGAAAATGAAGTCGGAGATTTGAGTTGAAAATTCTAGCACCACACGAGTAGAAGTAAATGGTTTGCTTTTGGATAAAAAATTCCAATCCAACCATAACTCAATACTTTTTTAATAATTCAATAAGCCAATTATAAGACAATTTTTTCCAACAATGATAATTACTCATACAACAATAATCAAAATCTTAATCCCAAAAATGAGGTCGGGTACATGGACAATGCCAAATTGCTAACTATGATTCTCTCATAGTCTCTTTCCATGCTCCTGCAAATCCAACTTCATGTCCTTTTTAACTCCTTTCATCCAAGTCATCTTTGGTCTTCCTTTGCTTCTTTTAAGATCTCCACGATCCCAAACTCCCAACCCTCTACATTATTTACCGGTGCATCTTTCAATCTCCATCTAACATACCCAAACCAACACAATCGTTTCCTCCTTATTGCATCAACTCCAATATTCCTTCTAATATCTTCATTTATAATTTCTAATTTTGCCCTTTAAGGTGTTCTCACACATCTATCTCAACATACGCATCATTGCTACCCCCATCTTCCTAAAATGATCCTTACCCATAAAACAACGTTGGTCTAATAGCCATCCAATATAATTTTCCTTTTAAGTTCAAAGGTATGCTCTAGTCATACAATACCCCAGTGCTCCCCATTAGACGATTAGAGCCAACTTGACTTCATCTTGTGGGTTACATCTTGGTCAATTCTTCTGCAAATTGAATTGACCCAAAGGTAATTAAAACACTCGCTAATCAGAACCTCCTTATCGTCCAACATTACTATCTCCCCACTTGAATTCCTGGTAGTGTTAAAACTACATTCCATGTACTCGCACCAGCTTGGTCTAAATCCCTCGAGATATTTTGCATCCCCCTAACTCCACTCTCATCCACCAATACAATATGGATATTATATCACGATCTATTAGTTTGGCATCATACCCCCAAACATATCATTATAGTATTATACCCAATGCTAAGTTACAGACTTAAAATTATCCGAATTACTAATATCAAGCATATCATATTTTTAGCAGATCCTAATTAATATTTCTATATCCTATAAAAGTTCTAATCCCAAAAATTACTTATCTATTACTTATATGTTCTTAAACATCTTATCAGATCCTAATTATATTCCATATGATTGAACAAACACTAACTCCATCAACAAAGGTGGCCGAGGGAAGATATTTCCATAGACAAATTAATGTATACAATATGAGGAACTAATCTTACATGTAACCATATCTTTGCCCACAATGACAAACATTTCATTTGGAGATGTCCCAAAAAAACTTCATACTTTCCTTTTTTCTTTTTCTTTTTTTTTCTTCTTCTCTCTTCCTATTCTCTTAATCCTTTTAATTTTCTTTCATAAAACAAATTCCTACTCCCACTTCCAAATTTTTTATTTCAGACAAATATTTTTTGATTTTAATTATAAAAAAAATTACCGTACCAATCTCATGTGTGATTTTTTTTTTTGGAATGCCAAAATTAACATCATCTAAGATATTGACATTTGAAACTTATATATGGACTAACATAGCATCAAATCAAGGATTCACTTTGCCTATCTAGAATTTGACATAAACATGGATTTCAGTTTTAAGTTTGATAAAAATAAAAGTAGTGACTAACGAGTGTAAAACAACATTAATATAAATAAATGGAAAGATTCAAAAGGCTAATGCAACTAGGATCAGCAATATAATATCAAAAGGATTAAAACACACATATGGCAGTATAACTATGGGACAAAAGAATCCATCAAAACATCAGAATTGGAAAACAGCTATAGATATAAATTTTCTTTCATACCGATATAGCTCAACTCGTGAACCTCCATATTTCATTTCTGCAGGCAATGGTACACCCATGCCCTGGCCTATAGTTTGATTCCCACAGCTATCACAAGGAGGAGCATTAACCCAACTGCAGAAGGCAATAACCCATTTAAAACACACATAGTTGAAAATAACAATATGAATTTGGACATGCCATTAGAGTGAATGAGCACACATTGGATAGTACAAGAATCAATCATACGAGTCCTCCCTTAGAATCCTAGATTCTTTCAGAAATAAAGTGCCACCAATTACTAACATGTTCAATTTGCCATAGTCTCAATATGAACCTAGAAATCTAATTGTGTCATTTAAGTGTATTGCACTACATGAGCTATGGCTAATAAATTAATATACTTCAATAAGAAACATCGTAAAGGAGTTGTCTTCATGAATTTAACTTTTCATCATATTAATTTCCATGCCTTGCGGGAAAGAAATAATCCCCACATACTAAGAAACATGTTTAGCATATATCTAACTAATGTCAAGAGAGGAAAAAAATGCCCAGATACCCAAGTTATCGATTGTTATCTAGTTATAGTCATAATTCCTTTCGTCCCCTTTGTTTACTCATTGAGCTTTTGTTACAATTTAAGTTTTTGGTTGGGTGAAGTTGATGCGAAACAAAATAAGTAGGATCAAATATAGTGAATTTAAGAGAAAAGTTGTTGTCCCTCTAATTCATTTATCATATTGGGCAAACTCAGAGAAAATTTATAAATGAAATTAGAGCAAATAAAAGAGGATGGTGGGAGCAATAACTTAGTAATGTTAGTATTCCCTTTGTTTCAAAGAGATCATTCTCCTTTCCATTTAGTGATATTATGAGTTGATAGTCAAAGTGAAATTATTCTTTACGCTTTAGAGATCCCTTATATGCTTTAAGGTTTTAATAACAATTAGAACATACAAACCATGGAAAAACCAATGGCTCCATATATAAATCTAGGGATTTCAATTTAAATCTTATATTTGGAAGATATTGATAATCTTAATTGGAATTTTGAATTTTAGTCCAAAATAGGAGTTTGACCCTTATCCCAATTCGGGTGAGGACAACAGGGTATACAGTCTATCATATCATTACGACCTTGTATACTAGCAAGATTGAAGGAGTGATGTGATAGCCAAGTCCAAGAATCACAGTTTGACAAAAGATAATTGATTTAATATTTACAATAGTAAGTTACAACAATAAAGCGAATTAATTCATAGAAGCCTTGAATTTCAGTAATGTTCAAAAATTAACCACCAAGATTTTGTATGATCAAAGGTAACCTAAGTGAAGGTTTGTTTTAAGCCTACTATAACAGTAATGTTTGAATTTCTTTTGGTCTCGTGGTTCGGTTGGTCTGATTTTAACAAGAATAAGATGCAGAAAACAAAGCTAAAGTCAAAGCTTAAGTAGAAAACAGCTAACATTGTTACATTACTTAACCTTGAAAGGTTATATAATTAGTTTAAATGTAGAACAAGAGCCTTAACAATACCATGAATTCTCAAACCAGAATACTTTTATAAGGGATAGATATCAGGTTTACCATAAATAGGTTCCCAATAGTAATACCTATTTCCTTTGTAATTCTGGTTAGCCCCCCTAGATGTTAAACATTAGCTTTATCCCTAAGTAGAAGAAACTCAACAAAAGGAGAGCCTTTGAGTGTGAGGACTTCACTCATGTAACATGTCAAATAAGCATCAAACCTAATCAAAATAACTAAGATTTTAAGAAAGTCTCTCAGCTAGAATGCTCTGATGAAGAGAAGATGAAATAAAATATATAACTAGAATACCTGAATGATTGTTTGAACCAAATCAACTACTCCAGCAAGAAAGCATGATCCCGTTCATCTTTTGTTGGTTCAAAGTTCCCCTCCTAGGAAGCAAAGAGATAACCTTAAAATTTTTAAATATGTTCATAGAAAGTTTATAGCTCAAAAGTATACAGTGGGAGCATCTAAAGTACTTTAGCCCACAATATACAACTAGAGGTGCATTAAAAGTCATAGCAAGGAAAGCAAAACAATGATTAATGGACTAGATGATTTCTAATCCTGTTTTGTAATCCTATGGATAGCGATAGCTAGAAAACCAGCCACTTCCATCTCATGTGATGCAATCATCCTAGCTGGTATAGTGATATTCAATGTAAAGCAAAGAGTATGAACCTATCAGACAAGTATTAAATGCAAATATGTGACACTTAAGGATGAAATTTAGTCATGTTTAATTTATAACTTTACAAATAGATAATTAGCCCCTGCCCTTACATGAAAATAGCTACTCTTATACTAGACCTAGAGGTACAACCGTACAACATAGATAAGAAAATTTTTATAAGCAAAAAAAAAAAAAAAAAAAAAAAAAGGTGCTTGCTGGTGAAAACTAAATGACCTTAACAAGATATTTACATAGGAATTAGGATTATAGGTAATTAAACTACCGAATCAAGAGTTAAACTTTTTATAAGCAAAAGTTGATTTGCCCACGTATGAAGTGACGGCAGAACACAATGTAAACATCAAATTAATCATCCAGAATCTAGCAACATAAGATTGAATGATAGTGATTAGTAACCCAACCTTTTTCGCTATGGCCACCAATGCTTTCTCCTCCAACTCGTCAACGGGTACTGTCTTACGAGCAGCTTCTTGGCGAGTTGGGTCCTCATACTACAGTGTTAAAAAAAAGAGGGTAAGAAATAGCAAGTAACACTCTTGATAAACCAAAGAATCTAGACTAAATAGATAAAAAATAAAAATGACAATTCGTAATCACCATAAAAACTTTATCAATATAACCCCGGAGTTGTTCTTCTATTTGTCCATTTTCTTCAGGAGCAACATACTGTTGAAAAAGCAGTGCTTCCTCCTCAGCCTTAAAAAATTGTAACATTATCAGCAATATGAAAATTTCACCAGAAAACCACAATACACCATCATTAATAGCATAGAATAATCTCCGAATTTATGAGGAGATATTACGAGTTGATAACATATATTGTAATAGAGTCAATCATCATAAATATCGTAAAAATGTTTGCAATTGGAAATATATAGATCAATATTCCTCAATTTTTTGACAAATCGGTCGGTAAAAGCTCGAATAGAAAGGCGAAATCAAAGTAAAACAAAAGTCAATTACCTGAAGCAATCGAGCATATTCTTCATCAGTCTTGAGCAATTCTTCATTAACATGAGAATCACCAGTTGCCGACGATTGAGCTGCAGCATCTTCTTCAATTGAAATCAAACGAAGCTTTTCTTCAATTGAATTTAGGTCAGAATCATCAGAAATGATTTTAATATCATGATGATCATCATCACAAAGTATCTGTAACATTAAAGCAAAAAAATGAAAAATTTGATCAAGAAAATATTCCAATTTCTAAGTGAATTAAACAAAATTAGAGATTAATTCAACCTTTTGTTCATCTGGAGGAATTGAAGTGAGAGAAAATAGTTGAAATTTGAACACCTGCAAATTCAAAAATCAAGAGATTGTGATTCAAACACAACATTTTACAGCAGAAAACGTAATTAGAGAGAAAGGTTGAAGAAAGAGATTGGTAGAGAGAATACTTCGAGGCCATCATCGGTGTCGTAATCGATGTCGAAGGTTGAGTTTTCATGGCGGACGAGGAGCTTCCGAGCTACCATTTCTGATCCCTTGCTTTTTTGTATTGCTAAGAAGAGTAGTAGTTCTTTTCCTCCGACGTTTGAAACTTTGGAGAAAGCCGTATACTTCTTCGATAAGTTTTTTAAAAAGTATCGACTTTAACGACAACAGGTAACGCCCGTATTTTGACTTGACTTGTTGAACGTGCCTCAAATGTACAATGCCTCACTTCACTCTCACTTTCATATTCACTCTCCAGTCTCCACATTTACCACATCCACCGCCACCACCATTAACCATCAATGACAACTAGCAATCACTACGCCATGAAAAAATACTAGCTTAAAAGTTTCACATTACTCTTCACAAATAACCCCAACTAGCCGCAAAAACTATGGATGACTACGAGAGACCATTGACGCCACCGGAGATATCACTAGAGCATACGAAGTCAGTGATGGAAAAGGGAAATTTCAAAAGTAGTTCATCCATTTCATAATAATTGCAACTACTGATACATGCCAATGCACAATGTTGACCATTATTTTAAAACCGGAAGTTTAAAGAACACTTGTCATCTTTTGACCTTTTTTTTTTTTTATCTCAAATGCTTCCAATCACTTCAAAAGTACAATGATCAATTTTCATTTGTGTCTCTTCCTCTTTATACTTCGTATTATTTTTCAATTACACAAAAATTTAATAACTAATCTTCCCTTTCTCTATCTCTTTTTACTCTTTCTCTATCTTCCATCACTTTCTACTATTCCTCTCTTTCACCCTAATTCTATAATTTATCTCAAGAATTTGAAAAAAAAAAAAAAAAACTTACTATGAAAATCTATATAAACCTTAAGAAACCATAGTAGTATTGAATTTAAGGAACAACCAAAGGTAATTTTTCTCAACTTTATTTGCAATTCATTTTTTTTTCAAATTATTTTCCAAAATTTCTTTTTTACTTTTTCGTTGTTTTTTTTATAAAAAAATATATTTCATTACATTTACGTAGTATTTTTTTTTTTGAGGAACATTTACGTAGTATTTTATTTTACTTATTAAATGCAATTTATATTTAACATGTTACTATATTTTTTTAAAAAATCTAAGAACAATCTAAATACGCAATAGTACAATTCTTTAATTAAAAAACAGATATTAGCCAATAATTAACTCGTGCATCACGCAAGCTAAATACTAGTTATATATTATAAAGAATTATAATATTTTTTTTTCTTTTGAAAAAAGAATGATTCATAAATAAAAAGTCATTTACAAAAAAGATTTAAATTTAATAAATACATGACAATTATATCAAACAAAAACATCCTTTCAACATAGCTACGATCGTTGTTGCAAATTACACATTCTTCATACCCTCTTTCATATTGTTGTGACTTACACCCTTCTTTGACGAGGTGGTCGATCTATTGTAGACTTGTAGTCGTGAATAAAATTTCCGTCCGATTCATCTGATTGTAATTATTGAAAAATTAACCTCTTTTTCAAACCCGCACAAATCCTTACAACAGAAATATAAAAATTAATACAATGAATATATACATAAAGACTAATCCAAAACTATTTTACATGGCAATAAGATATGTTTTTTTTATATAAGTTAGTAAAAAAAATAGTCAAAGTAAGCTTATAAATAGTGCAAAAATCAAACTGTTGCGATTATTACAAAATGAAGGGAGTATTAGGGGGACACACCGGGAATCTCTGTATCCCTTGGTAGGCTTTTCCTTTTATTTAATAAAATTTGAGTCAAAATGTTCTAGAATGGATTTGTATTGAGAAACTTTGATACTTAGCCTCAAAATTTATTGAAATCACTTGACGTAAAAATTGTGCAAATTATATACTTCCTCTGTTCTGCTATTATTGCAACAAGGGGTGTGGGCACATGTTTTAAGAAAGAAGTAAAGCGAAGAGAGAGAAAAAAAAGCTATGCAAGTTGCACATGTGATTAACAAATAATAAGCAAAATTAAAAAGAAGACCCATGTGAGGACGTTTTACCAAATTGAGCTTTAAACGGAAACTATTTACGAAAATGGTTGCGTGGCAAAACTATTTACCAAACTAAGCTTCCAGCATAAAACGCTGTCCGAGACAGCGTTTTATGCTCTGGTATTTTTTAAAAAAATATTCAGTTGGTAAAACGCTGTCTCGGACAGCGTTTTTACCTTTTGTAATTTTTTTAAAAAAATTATTAACAATTGTATGTTGAACATAAAACGTTGTCTCAGACAGCGCTTTATGTACTACATACAACGCTTTACCTTCTGTATTTTTTTAAATTCAGTAGGGCATAAAACGCTGTCTCGGACAGCGTTTTATCCTTGGGTTTTTTTAAAAAAAAAATTCAATGGGTAAAACGCTGTCCGAGACAGCGTTTTATTCCCTGTTTTTTTTTTTAAATGAAACGCTGTCCGGGACAGCGTTTCATGGCCATATATCAGCATGTTCACTTCAGCAGAATGCGCAAGAACTCAACCTCAACCTCAACGCTTTCCCTCCTCCCTCTCACACTAAACCACGACCGTACTCAAACACCCGCATTGTCGCCGCCGCCCACCCTTGCGCCACCGCTGCTGCCGCCACCTTGCTGCTGCCCTCCTCCCTCTCACACTCACTCACTCAATTTCGTGGTTAGCCCTAAACTGAATTTAGTGTAATTGCATAGTTATTGTGGTTAATTATTGTGAATTGTATGTAATTGCTCTTACTTGTTGTTAATTCATGTCAATTGCCTGTAATTGTTGCTAATTATTAATGAAAATGTGGTACATTGTTGATAATTATTGATGGTGATGTGGTACATTGTTATTGAAATTGTTCATGACATTGGTGAAGTTGATGATGGTGAAAATGTTGAAGTTGTTAATGGTTGAAATTGGTGAGAAGAGATGAAATTGTTGAAATTATTGAAATAGTTTAGGTTGAAATTGTTGAAATAATTCAAATTGTTCATGAAATTGTTGAAATTGGTGAAGTTGTTGAAAGTGAAGTTGTTATAGGTGAGAAGAGTCTTATTTCAGTGTTGATAATTTACCTCGCTCTAGATTTCGATAATCCTAAAATGTGTTTTGGTTATGTAGAATATGGCGTCACAAAATGTAGTTTTGTTATGCCGGTGGGGAGGAGAAATTCTGTTTGATGGACCCCGGGTCGAGTATAGTGGGGGAAATATGGAACCACTAACACTAGAACCGAACATGACTATGAATGATTTGATAACATTTGGAACATTTGATCGTTAACATTTTGGTTAATTGCTAATGCGTTAACTCTGTTGGGATTTGTTAAATTGCATGTGAACAGATACGATGGACGGTGAAGATCGTACGCCTGGACCCGTTGACCCTTCTGTGCTTACACTGTCGGGGGGAGCAGGACCAGGACGACCAGTACCAGGCGTACGATGCTCCCCCGCTCCCTACACCGGATGAGGCATATGGTTGCAGGTTCGATACAACTTTCATTGAGTTAGGCTTTATTTAATGCGCGGGGTTGTTAACTGAAACATTGTTCGATATTAGGTGGGTGGTACCCAGGCTGACACATGCTCATGCGGCGAGGGGTCTTCCGTATTACCGAGACGCCCTAGACCGACTCACCGAGGACCAGGTAACAATTTAAAATACAGTTTTAGCTTTTTTGTTTTAACATTGTACTTGTTGCGAACTAACATATTCATAATATTACTGTTGATGTGTATTTACAGGTGACATGGGACCCGTATGTACCTGACTTGGTAGATGCCATGCCTCCACATCTGCTAGACCATCAGGCGGAGTGGCGTGCTAGGGTCCCCCTGATCTGTTTCGAGGTTGTGGAGAGTCACCTGCCCGACCGAGTCATGAGGCAGTTTGGACTACGCCAGACTATCCCACAGGGGTGTGACACTAGTGTACAGCTTCACGGCATTGATCGTCGGGGAAAGGGGGAGACCAGCTGGGCGCTGGAGCATTGGCGTTTCCTTCAGCTATGGGAGCAACGGTTGGAGTTCATCGTTGGAGGTGATCTAATGCAGGGGGCTATGGATCCCGACGATCCGTACATGGTGTGGTACAGGCGTATCACACGACGCTTCATCAACCCCAGCTACGCACCACCATCCACACATTACCATCCAGCATATGACATCATTAGCGGATATGTGAGTTATTATTTTTCTACTCCTTTTCAACAATTTCCGTATTTGTATGCCATAGATCTGACTGATCGATGATTACTGCAGGCGGCGGATATGGTGGCGATGGTTGATGCGCTATCAGTCTCCCTTGAGTGCGGACCCACTAGAGCCCAGGTCGAGCAGGTGCGAGATATGGGCGTCGCTACCTTACGGAGATATGGTCACGCTCATCTCGCCCACCGGCGGGACGGTCATGATGGCAACTCACAGTTCGATCTCGGCCAGAGCAGCGGTGGATGTGATCCTACGTCACCCAGACACGCAGAGGATTACAACATCCACAGTACTGCGCCCTCTGGTACCCAGGAGGACCCCTCGTCCAGTCAGCTGACTCCCCCACCGCCCCGAGACCCATTCACCACCGTCACTCATTACAGGCGGCGACGTGTCAGACGGAGGGCCGACACTCAGGAGGCAGGACCTTTACCCCGAATAAATGAGTCGGGCTAGTATTATCTGTTGTATTCCCTGTTATTTTGTGTAATGATGTACATAACACTTATGAAATTAATATAATAAATCTTTTTTGAATGACTCCGTGTGTGCTTTGAAGTTAATTTGGTGGTTGGACTGTTGTTGGGCTGTTTCGAGTTTTCTGCAGTGCTTAAAGTTGACGGAACTCCCAGAATATGGTGGTGGTACGTGGTGGGGAGTGGCGGAGTTGGTGGTCGACGGTGGTGGGGTAGGGCTGTGGAGCTGGCTGTTGTGGTGGCTGTTGGAGGACTGCAGCATGCAAGCTGTTTGCTGAAGCTTGTTTTCTGCCTGGATGCTGGTTGCTGTTTCCAGCAGAAAAGCGCTGTCTCAGACAGCGCTTTATGTTCAAGCATAAAGCGCTGTCTGAGACAGCGTTTTATGTTCAAGCATAAAGCGCTGTCTGAGACAGCGCTTTATGTTCAAGCATAAAGCGCTGTCTGAGACAGAGCTTTATGTTGAACATATAAAATAGTTGTAGTTGAATTTTTTTTTAAAAAAAAAACCAGGGGTAAAACGCTGTCCGAGACAGCGTTTTATGCTGGAAGCTTAGTTTGGTAAATAGTTTTGCCACGCAACCATTTTCGTAAATAGTTTCCGTTTAAAGCTCAATTTGGTAAAACGTCCCCCATGTGAGGTCTGCCACTTTTTACCGTGGCTTAGGATTTGGAGGAAAGTTTTCAACTTTTCACATCTGAAAATTTTAAACTTCCACCAAATATTTGAAATTTTCAACTTATCTTTACAACTTTTAATTTAAAGCTACTATAAAAGGGACCAAAAAATTTACAGAGAACATTCTCTCATAACTCCACTTCAATAAATTTTGATTCAACCTACAATAGTCAAAAGTACATTTCTTCTTGTTCATTTTTCCACTTCGCAGCACACACAAGCACTTATCACCATCTACGTACTTGTCTTCACTTCACTGCACACACTTCACCTGCAATCCAGATAATACAACCACATCACACACGCACCTAAGAAGATTATGGATGATTTTTATGAGCCTGAGGAGTTGTACCAGATGGATCAGTCTGAAGCCTTTGAAGAATGGATGCTAGATTGTAAGGTAACATTTTTTTCATAATATGATAGTGATGTTATTGATATTGATATTGAAGTAGATAATGAAACAAACCCATTTGTAGTAGTTATGGAACAAAATGAAGTAATAAGAGAAAAGAATGGAGTCAAAACCTTTAAATTGACTAATAGAGATAGACAACACATAGCTCATAAATTGATTTTAAGTAAAAAAGGTAAGAGAGTTTGGGATGGGAGGAAAAATGTCCAAGATGGAGTCATTAAAAAGTTAGCAACAGAATATAAGGTACACAGAACAACAATCCACAGAATTTGGTGTAGGGGAAAAACCATTTAAGTAAACAACAAGTAATCGATGTGAGCAGTAAAAAGACACAAAGAGGTAAGAAAAGGCTGGGTTTTGATCCTAAAGTTTTAGGTGCTGTCCGTATTGAAAAAAGAACAACTATAAGGTCGTTAGCGGAGGCATTAGGGCTGAGTTTTTCTACGGTTTACAGGTTGTTAAGGGCTGGTTTACTTAGAGCACATTCTAACAGCATTAAACCATTATTGAAACCTCACAAGATTACAAGAGTTCAATACATCATGCAAAGTGTCATACCAGGTTGTGTGAATGAACTACCAAAGTTTAGTGCAATAGATGAAAAATGGTTTTTTATGAGTGCCAAGACTCAAAGGTTTTACCTTTTTCCTTGGGAGGACGATCCTTACGGGGCAACACAAAGCAAAAATTATATAGAAAAAATGATGTTTGGATTTGGTGTAGCTAGACCACACATTACTCAACAAGGGGAGGAAATTTGGGATGGTAAGATAGGGATTTTTCCTTTTGTAGAAGGCGTGGCAACACAGAGAAGTTTAGAAAACAAAGCAAAGGGAACAATTGAAACGAAGGCAATACAATCTGTCACTAAAGATGTCATTAGATCAATGTTTATCAATAAAATGCTTCCTGCTATCAGAAAAAAAATGGCCAACAGGAGCATGCAAAGACATTTAGATACAACAAGATAATGCACGTCCTCATATCAGTCCAACTGACAAAGAGTTCATGGAAGCTGCTACAAAAGATGGTTTCAACATTAGACTTATTAACCAGCCAGCTCAAAGCCCTTACCTAAATATTTTAGATTTTGGATTTTTCAGAGCTATTCAATCCATATAGTACAAGGAATTTCCGAAAAGTATTGATGATTTGATTAAGCAATTACATATGCATACAATGAGTTTGACGCTAGATCACTCAACTACACATGGCTGCACATGCAATACTGTATGCTTGAAGTTCTAAAAGTGAATGGCGGAAATAAGTACAAAAACCCACATTAAGGAAAGAAGAGGCTTGAAAGGTTAAGATTGTTGCCAGTCCAACTGGAAGTGCCATGTGATCTTTTGGGACAAGCATCTACGTTCCTTAACGAGGGACATATTGAGGTTAATGTTGCTACTCAGCAAGGCAACATTGAAGACTATATGCCCTGATTAGCACTTTGGGGTGAAAATCAATATTTTGGGAGTTTGAAGAAAAAAATATTTGGAAAACATGTTTATTTTTTGGAAGCACATATTGAAAAATCAGTTTAGTTTGTAAAACCAATATGCTTAGGTAATTAGTTAGCTTTTCAATGTACTACCCAAACTCTTTTTGTGAAGGCATAACAGGAACCTACTTTTGTAAACATCATAATAGAAAATACTTCGTATGAATGCATGATATGTGTATTTATAAGTTCAAAGGGTTATAAAATGAGCATGCCAAGTTGTATGATCAAACTAACCACAATAGCAACACAATACCCCAATGACACCACAATAGCAGGGACATTTGGTATTCCAAAGAAACAACAAGGTCATATACATATAGCAACACCACAATACCACACTTAATCATTACATAAATATATGAAGTACAAAGAATAGAACAATACCAGGGATGAACTCAGAGAATGATTCGGGGGTAAACTGCCATATGAATCAGATTCATTAGGAGTTAAAGGGAGAATCGCAGCTTGCGGCATAGTAATAGTATTGTTATAGAATGATTCCAAGACACAAGTGCCAGGATGTGTACGCAGGATTCTGCTACCAGTATTTTGTATCCCTTCCGGTGTCTCTTGAGCAATAACATTGGAGACTTGAGGAGGAGGTGTTCTAGGATGAGGTGTTATAGGATGAGGTGTTCTAGGTTTAGTCTTTTCAATCAACTCACCTTCATCACTTGAAGATTGGAAGTAACCTTTAAACTTTTTTTTGACGGCCTCCCATTCTTCATTAGACTCACAAGGTATTTCCCAATATGGTTGCATACTACTTACCACACAATCATCATCTTTGTCTGATGAATCAGTATCAGTATGATACCTTGGACGTTTTCCCTTCCGCATTCTTCTAACATACCCCGAATCGGTCTCATCTGATAATCCATCGTTCCACCTCATCCTACAACAAATAAACAAACGATTTATATATATACTTCATATAGAGCATCATGAATAGGGTGTAAGGTATACTCCATCATCATTATGCTTAGAAACTAGTCCAACAGAGGAAAAGTATAGGCCATCATCATCAAAGTATTTGATTTCATTTAACAACAAAAGATAAAGAGCTCTTTTTACAGTAGAAAGAGAAAAGGATACTCCATCACCATCAAGCCTTTTAATTTATTTTCTTTAAAAAAATTAAATCAAGTCTTTTTCTTAGTTTATAACCGAAACTTAAACCTTCTTTGCTCCATTTACAAGTAAGAGAAAATTATACTCCATCATCACCAAGCTTTTTAATTTCTTTTATTTTTAAAAAAAAACTAACTCTTTTTTACTTAAAATGAGATCAACACAAACAGTACTTAAGCCAAGATATTCAATGCAAAGTGGTCCATAACTTTATTATCAACAACCGCCACTATACAAACACAAATTAACATAATCTTGCCTCTAAAAACAAAATTTATTGAACATGTTCTAGATTATCTCAAAAAAAAAAAAAAAATTTAAAAAAACCACATGTTAGATGATTTTCTACACAAGTTGAAGAACAATAACTACCATTCAACCAATAGCAATTACTAGATTCTTTTTTTTACAGGAAAAAAAAATTCCAGATCGAAACGGATAAAATTATTGTGTGTCAATACAACGATTTAAATCAATATCAAGTAATTTTTATTGGAAAGCACCTTGATTTGAAGCCTTGATTGAATTTTTGTTGAAGAACTCTAGATCTGGTTTTCCCTATAAGTGTTGCTGAGCTTAACTACGAGATTGCTTTCCATACCGATACATGCAACAAAAAAAAAAAAAAAAAGAAAAAAAAAAAGAAAAAAAAAGAGAGATAGAAAAATAGAGGATTTTTCTGATAATTTCGTTGAAGAACAAGAACCCTAGATCTGGGTTTGTAAGAAAATTGGGGATGATTGCTGAGCACCAACATTGGGGAAGAACATGGGTAAATGTCATTAAGGATGAAGATTCTAAAGAAGTGTGGTAACCGTGATAAATAAATCTGGTAGAAAAGGTTAGTGTGATGTTAGTGTTATTAAGAGTTTATGGGGGTTATAATGAAGGGTATTTAGATGACATGAGTAAGGGTAAAATTGGAATTTTATAATAAAAAACTTTCCAAAAATAGAGTTGTTGCAATATTTGTGAAACTTTCTAATATGGTAATTGTTACAATATTAACAGAACGGAGGAAGTAGTACATACACCCGATAACATGTAGTTAGTTCTACATGCAACCAGGGTATTTTGGGTATGTTTCTTATAATTTTTGACAATTTTTTTTTTTTGAAAATCTTATAATTTTTGACATATATATACTATAATAGCTTTAAATCTGTTAGTTGTTTTGCCTTCAATCACTACTATTATCCCATCTTTGTAATGATATCTACTAAATAAGTAAATAGTCAAAGATTTGGTTTCTTTATATTTCATGTTTTTACCAACAATTCAAGCACTAAAACGACTAAAATAGCACAATTAAAAAAGAAGATTAAAACGATTTAAAAAGCACAATTAATAATAACGTAAAAGCATAATGAACCCAAAAACACAGTAATGATTCATATAGACATTGAATCACAAAAATAAGAGAATGATTATATGCAAACGAACATAAAGATTATTTTGAAAACCTAAATTTGCTTGAACTAGAATGCAAATTAATTTATAGTACAATATCATGTTGTACCACCATATCATAATTTTTTATAACTAAAAAAAAATCAACTAAAAACAATTTTTCAAAAAGTTACAACACAAAGATCAATAACTAAACAATGACATTTTGTGACACACTTTGTCAAAAAAAAAAAAAAAGACATTCAATTCAACCACAACTTGTTCAAATTATGGTTACCTAAGTAGATATGTTGTAGGGATCTTTTTGAGAAGAAGAATTTGAAAGAATGAATGCAGTACTGCTACTTCTGCTGGTTTTGCAATTACATTTTGTTTTTCTTTTTCTTAATGTAGATATTTAACACTAAAGAAATAAGTTTTATAATCTGCTAAAATTTAATAATCACTGTGTTTAGGTGGATTGCATGCAGCGAAAGATTCACCTTTAAACCTTCGAATTGGTCAAATAAGTGACATAGAAACAATTTACAAAAATAAATTAGGAATTTTTTTTTGAAAAATAAATTTTAATTAATTAATGAAAAATGTCGATCATCAGATTTACTCATATATGCAATAATCCGGCTCATAAACTTTTACTTATAAATTTTGAAATTTTCTTTGTGGAGGCGAATGTACCAAGCATGGTACATCCGGATTTTTGATAAAAGGCGGAATGAACATATAGCTGTTTCGTAAAGAACATATAGTTGTTTTGTAAAGAACATATAGCTGTTTTACAAAGAACATTCAGCTTTATGTTCTTTTTGTATATCTAAAGAACATCCATAATGTTAATAAAGAACATGATAATACTATGTAATGAACATTATTTATGTTCACCCACCATAATCTAAAGACAAAATTTAAAAAACATTTCACAGTTAACAATGAATATTATGTCACAAATAAATAAAAAATAAAAAATAAAATTACACTGACAATCAAATAATATAGAGATAAAGAATTTTATTTAACAATGTGTTCTTTATAAAATAGTGTCATGTTCATTGTTATTAATAGTTTTATGTCCTTTTTTTATGTTCTTTTACCACGTTCATTATATTTTAACAACATGTTCTTTTCACTTTAGATATATGTTCTTTACAATTCTATACGATGTTCTTTTCACTTTAACTAAATGTTCTTTACATTTCTATATAATGTTCTTTCCGCCTTTTTTTTTTTAATTTTTTTTTTGAAACGATGTACCATGCGCATGTTACATCTGCCTCCATAAACCACTGATTGTATAAATTTCCATAGAAAATGTCCGAAAATATCAAAACTCCTAAAATACACCTTTTACTTACTACGTAGTACTCCGCAGTACTTATAAAGTATTTCCCATTGTACTTCCATGTCAGCATGTATATTTTATTTTATCTGTTCATTGCTAATTAAATTAGCGGTTTTTTCAAGGTAGTAACCGGCTAATTGAATTAGCAGTTCTATGTTGTTAAAAAAGGCTCTTGTACTGTTGACCTGTTGTACATACAAACATCAATAAGTAGTTGTTACACATCACTTACACCACATTCATTTAACGTTGCACTAATTTTTTTCATCAAAATAATCTACATCACCATTATTAATTTTTTTAAAAATACACTAAAGTACACAAAACCCATCCATAAAATTAAATGCAACCACAAAGTGTATTAAATTTCCCACTTCATAATTCCACTATTAACACAACCAATACCTTCCCTCTTTAATTCCCACCCCTCAATCACATTTTATAAATACCCCACCAAAAAAAAAACATCAAAATCATCATTTTTCTCACTAAAATTTATTCTTTGAAAAAAAAAGGGGGAAAAATAATGAAGGGAAAAGAAGTAGTGAAGGTGCAATCAGTGTTAACAGTGGTGTCAAGCACACCAGTAAACCCTCCAGGCAGGACCTTGACGCTATCACCACTAGACCGGGCAATGGAGCAACACACACTTCACGTAATATTTTATTTCAAATCCGGTTCAATCGAATTTAACAGGGTTAGACCATTTTTGAATGAGGTACTAACCATGTATCCGAATGTGGTTGGGCGGTTAGCCAAGGACGGTGACGGTAGTTGGTTAGTGAAGTGTACTGATGCTGGTCTGCGGGTGCACCGTGCTACGGTAGGGGTTAGTGTTGATGATTGGCTTAGATCCGCCTCTGCTCAGGATGAGATCAAACTTATTGTTCATCAGGAGGTTCCTCCTGATACTCAGTATTGGGCTCCTTTTCGTATGCAGGTTATTCATTCTCTCTTCTTATACTACAACGTAGAATGTATCGTGCTAAACTGCTAATTCACGAGATATATTCCTTGTCATGAAAAACACTAAAAATATTAGTGGAGTCACTGGAATATGTAGTTAAAATAAAATAAAACAGTGTTTAGAAGTTGATGATTTAGGACGTCAAGAATTGTGGTTTAATTAATTTTTATTATCAATTCTTGTTTAGAGTGAATTTATTACTACTGTACTTTTTTTTTTTCTAACGGAGATAGGCTGTCAGTATTACTAATTTACTACTGTATTCGTTTCAATTCAATAATGTAGTAGTGCAATTTTTAGATGTGTATAGGAAATAGTACTCGTAACTAAAATTCACCGCATTATTAATGTTACCCTATTATTTGTTCTTCTTGCTTTAACCTTATATTTTAAATATAAAAAAAAACATTTAGAAATAAGATTTTGAAATCACCTTGTTTCAAAAAAGTTATTTACATATGGAGTATCTTTTTTTTTTTTTTTTTTTCCCTTTGTGGTGGAAACTGTGAAATCTTCTTGTGTCAAAATAATTAGACATTGAAATGTATACATGTTTTTTTTTATTTATTTTTTTTTTTTTATAATGACTATAAAACCAATGTAACTTCACGTTATTCTTAAGACCTTAGGGTTTAAGGTGTATACCCCTTGATTTATGACCTATTGAAAATTTGACATGTAACATGTCAGGGTACAAATCGTACAATAAATTAGAAAGTTTGTATTTTTTTTAAAGAGAAACTACGTTACACGTAAAAGATTTTGTTTGTTACAAATGAAAATAGTGAAATGTTTTAATATTGATTCAATATATTTCATATTAACCAAGATTGTTAAGATTTATACTCCGTAGATGATTAGCAGATTAGATGCATATTGCATAAGCATTATCTACAAATTTATGATAATAGTAAACAAATTTGGTTTATCAAATAACATTTCGTAAATAAATCAACCACTTTTTCATTATATTTTAAGTGTAAGATGCGTGTTTAAGTCTTACAAGTTACAACTATATGAGTCTATAATAGACTCCTTTCACTTTCATCATAATAAATTGTCAACCTTTTAATAATAAATTTCCTTCGTCACTAAATCTATTTCGTACTTTTTTTTAGTTGAGGAGTTCAAGTTCACTATTTTTAGGAAAGCCTGAGTAAGTAGGTTAGTGAAAATGGTGATGATTAATAAGGTATGTAGGACTAAATAATAAAGAAAGAGGATATTGTAGGAATTGAAATAGAACAAGGTTTGACATAATTACACATTTACACTCAATAACATTAATTAATAATTATATACTTTTTGGTGAAATAACATTTATTATATGCATAATGCATTAACATGAAATTATAACCTAGAAAATTGATATGGACCTGGTTATAATCGAGTAGTGGAGCCCATAAACTGGAGTTTACTTTTTATGGATACAATAGTCAATGAAAGGTATGAATACGATCCGATAATTGAAGAATGGAGAAACCATTAAATACATTGTCTAAAATAGTAGTACTCTGTACTTCATTTGACCTTAAATATAATGTTCAATCTTGAAAATATTTACAATTTAAGAGAATTTTTAAAATAATTTTCCTTTATAATCACGTAACAACATTAAATGTAATTACATTATGGAATGGAGGGAGTACCATATACTGTAATAATCAAGCTAAATATACTAGTACACACTACACAACAATGGTTCTAACATGTTCACATTTTACATTGTTGGTAACTTGGTATTGACTCATACTGCTTTAAGGTGCATCTAACGAATTTCAAATGTATCTGGGCACGCGCTATGGATGCAGGTAACTGATTTTGAAGGCGGTGGAACAGCCATTTCATTGAGCTGCCCTCATATGCTTGCTGATCCTATCAGTGTGACCCTATTAATCAAGTCATGGACCGAAGCCTGCCACAACGATGTCATTGTCCACCCTCCGTTCCTCAACACTCATGTTATCAATCAGCCGCCCACCTTCATCACTCCGAGTACTACTACTACTTCACCCTCTTACTACGCTTCCAAGTCAAAAGCATTGAATCCTAACCCCAAAGTAAAAATGGTTTCAGCAACCTTCAGCTTCTCTGATTCAGCAATCAAGCAATCTCTCGCCAAATTTGAGTCTACTGTCCCTGATGCGACCCCATTTGCCCTGTTAACAGCCCTTTTTTGGACGCGTATTGCAGAACTCAAGGCTCAGACCCATGAAGACATCCAACAGTCCATTTCAATCTGCATGGACATGAGGAAGAATTTGCGTGCCCCTTTGCCATACGGATACTTTGGTAATGCCTTGCACTTCTCTAAGTTGACAGTGAACACTGAAAAAATGAGCAATGGAGATCTAGGGCAGGTGGCAGAACTCGTGCACCACCATGTGACCGGGTTCAAGGATGAGGAGTTTTGGTCAGCTGTGGATTGGCTGAAGTCTAGGAAGGATGATCAGGGCAAGTTTCTCCCTCCATTTCAGATGTACGGTCCTGAGCTGACGTGTGTTAACATGGAGAGCATGATTGCTCCCATTAATGTTCGGGAGAAAGAATCTCAGCCATTGATGTATGGGATGGAATTTGTTAAGGATCAAAAACCTGCACATGTGTCGTATCATTTGGAGAACGTGCAAGGTGAAGGGTTGATTATGGTAATGCCTTCCCCTGATGAAGGGTTAGCAAGGAGAGTAACTGTCACACTTCCTGAGGAAGAACTGGAAAAGCTGTTGCAGGATAAGGTCATTCTAAGCCTAGAACCAACTCTGCTACTTAGTGGGAAATGCTAAAATCATATGCTGACTTATTCTTAGTCTTTAATTCTTATGTATGAAGTACGAACTACCAAACCATTAACAAAATTCAAGAGGGAAATTCAGTCAACAAATTTCATTACTTCATGTAATATGATTTTAGTCATATTTTATGGAAATATGTTTCTAATTTGTCGAAAAAAAGGACTGCATGAATCGCATGATACATTCAGATTCAACTTTTCGTCTGACCTTCCAGAAAAAAATCAGTTTTGTGGGTGATCCAATGGAGGTGTATTTGCGAACTTCCATGTCTTTGCAATCATGCCTTCATATGTTCTGTCACCAGCAACCTCACATAGTGGCACGGCATTAGACACTTCTTTGGATTCTTCTTCAGTGAGATTGATCTTCAAGGATCCAATGTTTGTATCCAAGTTCTTGATTTTGGTTGTTCCTATAATAATGAAATATACTCAAATGCTTAAAAGATAACCTACATCCATTAGAAACGGACTAAAAACTCAACTAAATTTAGTTATTTCTGAAGTTTGTTAAGAGCTAGAAAGCATATAGATTTTGGTTATCGTTACCAGGAATGGGAACTACATCATTCCCTTGACGCATAATCCATGAAAGAGCTAGTTGAGCTGGTGTGCATCCATGTGTCTTGGAGATTTTCTCCAGCCTATCATATATCATCTTGTTTTTGTCCAAACTCTCCGAACAATGTCGAGGGTGATTGGCCTATTCAGAACAAGAGAACATAGTTTAGAATCATTAAAATCTACTGTCTGCTTCATTTTCATAAGTTATATATGGACATGCAACAAGTTTATTTTACCAAGAAACTATTTTGAGGCAGAGCCTCCACAATTCCTTTTCCAGCAAAAAATCCTCGGCCAAGAGGGCTGTATACAACAATACCAATCCCAAGTTCTCTGCCAAAAACATTCACATATCCTATTTCAAAATTTAATCACATCACAGCATTGTTAATTCAATTCCCAACCAATGGCTAAAAGAAAAACAAAATATAAGAGAGAAAGATTACCTGCAAAGAGGAAAAATCTCTTCCTCGATGTCCCGAGTCCACAGAGACCACTCCATCTGCACAGCAGAGATAGGATGAACTGCATGGGCCCTTATGATGGTGTCAGGACTTGCCTCTGATAACCCTATATACCGGATTTTCCCTTCTTCCACTAGCTTCTTAAGCTCCCCCATCTAATAATGATTTATAACAAGCACAAACTTAAATTTACCTTGGAATCTGAAAATGTTAATCTGGTTTGTAAGAGGTTTAACACTTAACCGTTTCTTCTATGGGTACTGAAGTATCAACACGGTGCTGGTAATATAGATCGATGTAATCTACATTGAGGCGCAATAAGCTAGCTTCGCAGCATGAACGTACATATTCCCGTGTTCCATTCACTATCATTTGAGGAGGGCCTATGCTCACAATGCCAAACTTGCTGGCTATCTGAACTTTTTCCCTGGGAAAATCTTTCAGTGCCTGAAATGATACATGATATGTTACAACAAGGGGAAAAAAAGCTCTGATCTCATAAAGAAACTGCAGTGTTCACAACAATGATGAAAAAAATTTGTAAACCCCACAATCTCAAAAAAACACACCCCTGATGAGCAGAAAAGTTCACCATAGTATTAAACCCGGCAAAGCTCAATTACAGAAGGCACTGATTCAAGCGGTTCTTGCTAGAAAACTGATTTGCAAGTCGCAGGATAAGTTAATCCATTTTCAGGATTATATAGAAGAATATAAATCTTTATTCTTTACCTTGCCAACAATCACTTCATTCTTATATCCCCCATAGAAATCTGCTGTATCAAAGAAAGTGACTCCTTTGTGAAATGCATCTTTAATAATAGCAATCCCGGTCTCTTCAGCTGCAGGGATATCAAAGAGGCCAGTTAAGCCCTGGCATCCAAACCCCAGCCTTGATACCTGTAAAATCAAAATCAAGGTTAAACTTGCTTAAGTACATCAACATTAGCAGCAGTCACCATCAATCAGGAACACTAAGATGCTAGAATCAGCGACGAAGGTTGAGTTCTTTGTTGTCTCATCCAAAAACTTTCTCTGTTAGTTTCTCTGCAAAATCATTCTAAATGAGATTATCAAAGATGTGCTACATTCTACTCCACAAAAAGATCAAGATCCCATGCCTAGATAGATCAACACACAGATTATGCAACTTGTGCTGATAAAAGTTATTCGGGTGGTTTACCTCAAGTCCTTGGCTTCCAAGTTTGACCCTTGGAACTTCAAGTTCCCGCTCTTCTCTTGCCATTACAACCTTGCACTTCTTTCTTACTTTCCTCAACTTGACTAGAGAAGATCAGTTCTACTCCTACCTTAATTACCGAGTTAGCCATTATAAAACAGGTAAAATTCTGACAATAATATTCTTATAGAAAGTAGCATTATTAAATATTAGTAGTTGATTCCATAACTCTAATATAATTATAGACTGAGCACACCTATTGTCAACTAGAAAACACTAATGAATAAAGAAGAAAAAAATAGATCTCAGAGCATGCTTACTATGCAGAGTCTTGAGATTAGGACAGTTAATTCCTATTAATATATAATGGATCGGGATAAAACTATAGGTCATAGAATATGATATCTTAAAGGCTGAGATAATAATATGATTGGATTTGTCACCCAGAAAGCAATGTTTCTGTATTTTATTCAACAATGGCCTGTTATAATCTGCAGCAAGGATTTTTATTTTATTTTATTTTTTTTAAACTTTTATTTTTTATTGCAGTTTACTGAAGATATATAAGCAACACTTCAATCTGTCCCTCTGTTTTTGCACACAATTTTATTGAGAGTTTAGCAAAGTTTGCAAGACATTTCTTTCACATGATAACACAAAAAAAATTAATGCAGAAGTTTTACTTAAAATCTTCAATACTCTCACAGATAATACGGAGTAGCATAAAAGAGCCAGGCTGCTTACAATGCAGAACATATTTTCCAAATCCTCACAAATTATTTAAGCAGATCATTGGGAAACCATAATCTATAACCAGCGTATTTCATGCTTAGATGCTTACATTATTTCTACGAAAGAAATATAGTATGGAATAAGAAAGAAATGTAGTTTTGAGACTATTGACTATTAGATGGAGTAATTAAAATCTCAATCCCCTTGTAAATGCCCCAATCCTAGATTTTTCCAGCTAAGTGGTTGGCGTCCACACTTATTAAGTTGTCCTGATATCTTTCAAGGGTGTATTTGCAAACCTCCATGTCATGGAGCTCATCCCTGCATATGTCCTGTCACCTGCAATCTCAGTGATGGGTACAGCATCGGAAATTTCTTTCAGGTCTTTTTCTGTAAGCTTCACTTTCAAGGCACCGAGATTGGCATCCAAGTTCTTGATTTTGGTTGTCCCTTCAGAATAGTTTAATTTCCACATTTCAATGCTAATAAGTTACAGACCTTGTTGAAACAACAAGAGACTATCAAGTGCAATTTCAGAAAAGAAACTAGTCATTCATTTAAGAGGCAAATAAATAAAAATAATTGTATTTATGTTTTGAAAAAGTGAGAGCAGAATCTTTGTAAGAGCAAGGCCTTGTTTCCCTTAGCTTCATAAATTTATCGATAAAATGATAGTTATGATTGATCAGCTAAACCCAGATTTAATCAATAAAACTAATTTTAATCAGCTAAATCAAATTTAAACAGTAAAATTCCATCAGCAAATCTTGTAGAGAGAGAAGCTCCTCCTATGGTGTTCGTGGTGCACGACAAGGGAAAATAATAAAGTGCACCTCTAGCTCCAAGAGAAAAAAAAGAAGAATAATACATGCAGATGATTGCATAGACCATTGCCTGGCTATCTGCAGTACCATCTGATCCAAGGGGTGATATCACCAGAAGCTCAGCAAGCCGCAATTATGTTTCATGGAGTGTTAGTACCAGGCCTTTCTCCAGGCAATGGAACCGTGTCTTCATTTCACAAGGTCTAAGTTGTTAATGATCGCAATCACAACAAGGGAAGAAAACATTTTCATCACACCAATCCACAGGCCTGGTAGGTGAATAATTTTCACATAGCATCTAAAGATTAGAGTGAATAGAGTCACTCACCAGGTATAGGTACAACATCGTCCCCTTGATGCAGAATCCATGACAGCGCCAGCTGAACTGGAGTGCATCCGTGTTTCTTTGACAGATTCTCCAGCCGAGAATATATTATCTTGTTTTTGTCCAAATTTTCCCCTTGAAACCGAGGATGTGAAGTCTAGAAAAAGGAAACAATTGTACTTTAGTCCTTCAATAACCCTTGTTCAGGGCCAGGTGGAGGGGAAAGATGGAAGGGAAAGGAAGTGTGAAAATCCAAATTGGTCATGAGCTTTTGTCATACCAGAAGACTGTTCTCTGGTAATGTCTCCACGACAGCTTTGCCCCCAAAAAATCCACGACCGAGAGGACTGTAAGGAACAATACCAATGCCCAGCTCTCTGTTAAAGGAATATAGCAGGTTTACACTCATTAGTTATATACTTCGTATACAGTATCACATATATACAAGAAATCTTGACACCCTTCAAGCAGTTATACGTTACATGTATGTATACATGTATCAATTCCAGACCAACCCAAGAAAATAGAAACAGAAGCTACAAATTTTAGCAAGTAATAACATGTAATGAAATTAGAACTTCTAGAGACAGCTAAGATGAAGAAAGAGTAACAGTGCGGAAAGATGCATGGTAACTTCAATAAGTACTAACAAACAAAGCCACGTACACTGAAATATGTGGATTATTATTAGCAATAGACCTGAATAACTAACCTACAGATAGGAACAATCTCTTCTTCGATGTCACGTGTCCAAAGAGACCACTCCATTTGAACAGCAGTGACAGGATGAATTGCATGTGCTCTTCTTATTGTGTCAGCACTGGCCTCTGATAACCCAATGTATCTAATTTTTCCTTCTTCAACTAGTTTCTTCATTTCTCCCATCTAGAAGCACATTCAAATAACATGAATGGCAGTTATTCTGAAAATTATTTTACAAAGTCCACAATCTTCAGACAAAAATCAGGGTGACAACTTCTTCCTATAACTTACAGAGTCAATATAAACAAAGGTTCACTGGATAGATTGCTTACTGTTTCCTCTATTGGTACCGAAGTGTCAATACGGTGTTGGTAATACAAATCAATATAGTCTACACCAAGACGATTCAAGCTAGCTTCACAGCATGAACGTACATATTCTGGAGTACCCTTCACTTCCATAATTCCAGGTCCAAGTCGTCCAATTCCTACAATGCCAAACTTTGTGGCTAACTGAACCTTTTCTCTTGGCAACTGTTTGAGCGCCTGCATAGTGTACACATTTAGGTACATTTCATACAAGTCAGTAGTCGAGTTAGAACTGCAAGAACACATAGAGGCAAACAAGCAACTCAAAACCTTGGATCATTACTCCCTCCATCCCTAAATAATAGGCCATAGTTTATTGGGGTCATTTTTTCACTATTTTCAGGAATTTTGAATCTAGCTCCATCATAGCAATGTAGTTTTTCTTTGGAACTCTCTGTTAAGGGTACCATGTAAAAGTTTTATGTATAACAAACTAGATTTAGAAAGTGGCCAAGTAATTGGGACGGCCTAAATAAGATATGTGGCACTATTATCTTAAGGATTGAGAAACGAAAGCACAACAATCACTAATTGCACTAATTAACTTTTGTCTTAACTTGGGAATAATACCATTCCACAGCTCTAGAAATACACTTTTCCTGTGACATAACTAAAGATGAATGTACTTTACAATGGTGCTAGTTCATAGGGAAGAAGGATGGATGATCATTACACTACATTTTTGTCAGCTACTGATGCAACACATTCCTCTATCAGAGATATCTGAGAAAGAGAGTGCAGCATGAGGAAATCGACAAGCACGAAGTTACGCAGAGCAATGCATACCTTACCAACAAGGACTTCATTTGTAGAAGCTCCATACACATCTGCTGTATCAAAGAATGTTATTCCTTTATTAAATGCATCCTTAATTATAGAAATTCCATCGGTTTCAGAAACAGGAGCATTGTAGACTCCAGATAAGCCCATGCATCCAAACCCCAACTTTGAAACCTACAAAATACAAAGTAAAAATTTAAATTGAATAGACAGGTATATCAAGCAAAAGGTAAATATAATTTATTACTTTCTTATCAGCAAAAGGTGAATATCTACTCAGTATGTACATTAGAAGCATGAGCTTATTGAATTTACATATAGGCAGGTATATTAGCAGGGTTCTGACGTTTCATCTCTGAGCAAACAAGGACTTCAGGGCTAATCCACTAGTTTACAGAAGCTCAAATGAGTCGTAGTTATAATAGTAGATACGATTCACTAGCACAGAAGTTCAAATCAGTCTTTACATAGAGAACAAGTAATAACCCATTAACAAAAACAGTCCTAGATGATCTTCTTTGTAGTTGAAATTGACAGTGTCTATTGTCTAAGTTGTTTTGCCTCTCATCACATTGCAACTTTGCCATGACATCCTTTGTGTACTTGTGCAATAGACCAACTGTTTTGGAGTTTAGGCAAAAACAGTACTTCGTACTTCGTATGTCGTTGGCTCCTACTGGTTAATACTCCTTTTATCCCTCAATTTTGCCCCAATTTCCTTTTTAGTCTGTCCTTTTAATTTTGCCCCAATTTCCTTTTTAGTCTGTCCATTTAATTTTGCCCCATTCTATATTTGGACATATGGGTCCACATTTCTACTCTCACAACCACCCCATTAATCCCACCACTTTTCTCTCTTATCACTTTGTCAACCAAAACTTAATAAAGTAACATTACACTGGGAAAAATATAAGGGACAGAGGGAGTACTTCGAATAATTATGTTCTTGGCATATTGCTAAAAACACAGTCGTTTGAGAAGCAACAATTACATACTCCTTTCGTCCCTTATGATTGTTTAATTCAATGATTCCCCACACTTCATTTTATTAAGAATTGTACTCGGTTTTATTAAATAAATAAGTAATTTGTTCAGATTTCGACACTATAATTTCTATAACCAATTCATTTGATCCCTCACTTTATCACTAATGATGACCTTCCATTACATTTCTAAACATTTTTACCCCAAATCGTTGAAGGGTCGTGCAATTCAACAAATTCAAATCGAAACCCATAAAAGAGACATCAAAAGAAATGACCAAAATCCAATCACCCATACAAAGAGTAATTCAAATACACAAATAAATTGCAATCCCAAATCATGATCATGTAAATCATATAATTATCCTTCAAAAAAAAATGTAAATCATATAATTAAAAATTACTATTAAATTTAAAAAGGGCAATTAGAAATTGAAAAAAGAGAGAATGGGTTTTATTAATTGATTACCTCCAAACCTTGGGTACCCAGCTTCACTCTTGCCACTTCTACTTCCTCTTTTGCTGCCATTTTCTCTCTTTCTCTCTCCTCTTTCTCTTGAATATCCTGGACATTGAACAGTTGACAAGGGATATTTCATACGAAGTATTTACTGCCAAAATGCAAAATACCCATTTTGCCCCTAGTTAAAACAGTAAAACCCCAACTCACCTTTTACCCAGCAAACATACTCCTCTTTCTCTCTCTTCACTACTCTTCTGTCTTCTCTCTTCACTACATTCTGGCGGTTTCAAAGCAATATGACCAGTCGCGGTAAGGAGCCGGCGATGTGCCGGCTGGGATAAACCATGCAGCCCGGAATGTAAGTTTATGCTTCATAAGTTCAAATAATTACAAAGATTAGATATTTATGTTTATCTAAGTAATTTAGAAAAAAAAAAAAAAATGAAAATTTGATGATGTTCTCTTTGAGAGAATTCAAGTTAATCTCTAAAATTGACATGAAAAGTTAATCTCCTCTCACAATATATTGTTTTACTTTTATTTTTAAAATAATAAAAGTGAAATAGTAAAGTGGCACGAAAACAAATGCATAAAATTGTGAGAGGAAATTAACTTGGAGCGTTAATCTCGGAGATTAAATGGGGCTCTCTCGTTTTTCTTTGTGTTTGGTGCTGGAAAAATCCCTTTTTTTTCATTTCTTAAGGTGGTAAATTATTAAATTAATAAATAAAATTAATTAAGGTAGTTAAAATCAAAATTAAGTTTCTTTAAAGGGCGTTGAAGTCAAATCCTTGTTTATATGATTACTTATACTTGTATGTAACATGTATATAACATTTTGAGGTTGGTTTTTTTTTTTTTTTTTAATAAGTAGATACTTATAACAGTTTGAGTTTGGATTTGAAAAGAAGAGATAAATTGTTGTTATAAGTGATATTATATGTTTAATTCGAAGTAAATAGTAATGTGGTAGTAGCTACTGTGAATATTTGAATGGTAGAAAGTGCTGATTATTGATTATGTAAATATATAGTATGGTATGAAAGGAATGGAGATATCTAACATGAAATATGGCTCTGGTGCTGTGCCTTATCAAGTTGGATGTACTGATACTTATGTGTGGAGGGAGAGGGAGGCTGCACGGTTGAGCCATCCCAAGAGCTATGCCAATAATGCCCATTTCGGCGAGGCTAATCGCCCGAAGTGGTATAATGAGGATGATTGGGTTGACGAGGATGAGGACGAGGACGAGGATGAAGATGAGGATGATTCTGAGTTTGAGGTTGGCGTTGACAAGGTTGAGGATGGTGTTTATAAGGTGCCTCCACTCCCAAGGCCACCTTATATTGTAGGAAGAGGTCAGGGTAAAGGAGTGAGTACTAGGAAGACTAGTGACCAGCCTAAACTGGTAGATGATGATTCTTGGATCGTTAAGGGAGACATGCCGGGTGGCCCATCGGATGGTTCTGTCATTCCTAGCTTTGGAGGTCATGTTGCTAGGCGGATTTGGGAAGGAAAACCAAGGGGTGTGTTAAAATGCTACAACTTAACCAATGCTTGTGAGGCTCTTGTTGGATGGAAAAAGTCATTGTCTCCTAATTTGAAGGCACAGATTGATGCAACTGGATTGGGTCACTTACCATCTTGCATGTTTAAACACATTGATATGCCGTTGATTTCTGCATTTGTGGAGCGGTGGCAGCCTGACACGAATTCTTTTCACTTGCCGTTTGGAGAAATGACTATTATGCTGCATGATGTATGGCAGATCCTCCGCATTCCAGTAGATGGTTGTTTGATTACTTCCCAAAGTAGCTCTAAGGATTTGTTTTATGATATGTCTGAGCTACTGAGAAGTACCCCAGATGAGCTTGTAGTTCCTCCCACACCTCACTGGAGTGATGATGGTGTCTCCATCGAGTCTATTCTAGCCTTGTGCCGTGATGATACATTGGTTGATTATGATACGAAGTTCTCCAGTTGGATGTTTTTGATGCTTGGTGCTTCATTATTTGTTGATAAGAATGAGAGTAGGATTAGACCTTCTAGCATACTAGAGGTAAGTTATGATTGTTATTTTGGAAAGATTCCTAAGTATGCGTGGGGTGTTGCAACTTTGGCGTATCTGTACCGACAGCTAGGGGTTGCTAGTCGGGGTGCGTGTGATGGCATTGCTGGTTGTCTGACGCTTCTCCAAGCATGGATATATGAGTACTTCCCTTGTTTCCGACCTCACCAAAAACGACCAACTTGTGGCCCTACAGATCTTCGCTCTCTTATGTGGAACACCAAGATGGAGGACAAGAATGAGGCTCGACTGTGTTCGATTCGTACCCGTCTAGATTATTTGACACCCTTGGAGGTATATATCTTACGAAAATCACAATATCTTCACATTTTCAAGCTAGTATCTGATAGAGATACAAGATAATCATCTAGCTAGAGTTATCTTATTCTCATATTCTGTAAAGATAATTAGTTATCTTTTAGCTTTATCATAGCTTCCTTGTTTTGTGTATATTGTTATTATCTTTTGTAATCTTTGCATAGCTCTTAGTTTGTATAAATCTAGGTTGTACACTCTGTTTTAATTAATTAAAATCAATGATATTCATCCTACATGGTATCAAAGCCTAGTTGATCAAACCACCTGATTTTTTTTTTTTTTCCGATCATTACGTCCCTCATGGCCTCCAACTCCAACTCCATCATCCCCAATGATGCACAACCATCACACCCTCTCATCATTGTCAACCTTACTAATGTGATTAAGCTCACCAACCTTAACTACCTCTCCTGGAAACTCCAACTTGAGTCTATCCTTGTTGGTCACGGCCTCTTCCACTTCCTAGACGGCTCGCTGCCTGCTCCGCCGCCCACTATCACTACCCAAGACACTACTTCCCCAAACCCGGCTTACACCACCTGGGTGCGCCAAGACAAGCTCCTCTTCGGTGCTTTTCTTAGTACCCTTGAAGCCAACATCTCACCCTTGGTCTTTCGTGCTACCACCACCAAAGAAGCATGGGACATCCTTGCTCACACCTTTGCTCGCCATACCCGGGGTCATGCCAAGCTCCTCAAAACCAACCTCAAATCCATCACAAAAGGCACACAGAGTATCACCGAATACATGAATGCTATCCGTATCTGTGCTGACCAACTAGCTGTCTTAGGTGACCCATGTAAACCAGATGACCTAATTGAGAGAGTCCTTGAGGTATCCAAGATTCTGCTTACCAGTCTGTCATTGATGCCACCAACAATCGTGACACCCTCATATCCTTCGACGAACTCCATGAGAAACTTCTCATCAAGGAAGTTAGTCTCTGTAATGCTCCCACCCCCTCCCCTCTCCCTGCCACAACTCACACTACATCCACCCGTAGCTACGCACCTCCTTCCTCCTCCACCGAATCTAACCGCAAGCCCTCATACTCTAATCACTCTCCATCACAATACAAGAAACCCCCTAGCAACGACAAACCCCCTGCCACTGGCTACAAAGGAAGGTGTCAGTGGTGCCATGCCTATGGTCACTCCTTGTATCGTTGCCCATCCTTTAATCAGCGTTTTCCAACAGCCAAGCCCACTCTCCCACCTCAATCTCGTGGACCCTCTCCTCAGGCACATGTTGCCACCGCATCTCCACCACCGTCCAACCCTTCTTGGCTCTTAGACACATGAGCCTCCCACCATGTTACCCACGACCTCTCCACTCTATCCCTTCACCATCCGTATGATGGCACTGAAGAAATCGTCATAGGTAATGGTCTAGGTGTCCCTATCACTCACACTGGTTCCTTGTTTTTCCCTGTCTCTAACTCTAAATCTATTAATCTGTCAAATATTTTATGTGCTCCATCCATGTCTCGTAATATTATTTCCATTTCTCAATTATGTTCTGAAAATAATCTTACGGTTGAATTCTCATCTGATTTCTTCCTTTTGAAGGATCGTCTCACGGGGGCACATCTTCTGAAGGGACCAGTTAAGCACGGGATTTATGAATGGCCCTCTTCCTCAAATTTTCTAGCTTTCTCAACTACTAAGGCCTCCTGCAATAAATTGGCACCATAGGCTTGGCCATCCCTCTCTATCAATTCTTAGGCATATTGTTTTCGATTTTAAGCTTCATGTTTCTAGTTCTTTCAACTTTAATTGTAATGCTTGTCAATGCAATAAAAGTCATAAATTATCTTTTGCTACATCAACATTAGTGTCTCACGCCCCTCTTGATATTATTTATACAGATTTATGGACCTCACCGGTCTATTCTATCGATGGCTTCAAATATTATGTTATCTTTATTGATCATTTCACCAAATATATTTGGTTTTATCCCCTTAAGAATAAATCTGATACTAAACCAGTCTTTATTCGCTATAAGGCCCTTGTTGAGAAATTTTTCAACAAACCCATCAAAATACTTTACTCCGAAAATGGAGGGGAGTACGAGGCTTTAGCCTCCTTCTTAATGATTGATGGTGTATCCCATCTAACCTCTCCCCCCCATACACCTGAGCACAATGGTTTTGCTGAGCGCCGGCATCGACATATTGTTGAGACCGGCCTCTCTCTTCTCACTCACTCTAAGCTTCCTCTTTCCTATTGGTCTTATGCCTTCTCTACCGCCTCATACTTAATTAACAGACTCCCTACACCTACTCTGTCCCTGAAGTCTCCGTATCACTGTTTGTTTGGCAAACCCCCCAACTACTTAAAGTTACGTTGTTTTGGTTGTTTATGTTATCCATGGCTCAAACCATACACCTCTCACAAATTACAACCTAAGTCAATGCCCTGTATTTTTATTGGATACTCCAAAACACAGAGTGCTTATCACTGCCTTGATCCTGTTTCTAAACGCATATATACATCCCGCCATGTTCGTTTTGTCGAAGATGAATTTCCAACTCCTAAACTACCCTCCCCTGAGCCACGGCCCCCCATCCGCTTGGTGTTCTGTCGCACTACCCATCCTGCAAAACCCAGTTTACAAGCCTGTTATCAAAATCCCAGATTCCTCTCCTTCGCACTCCTCCAACACACTGCCCCCCTCTTCTCCATCTCAGCCCACTTCCTCGTTCTCTCCCTTGCTGCCCACCTCAAACGCCCAACCTTCTACCCACGCATCCCCTACACCTACCTCCCATGACTCCATGCCCATTCCCCCCATGCCACCCCTCACTTCCGCACTACCCCACGCTGCCTCTCAGCCTGCGCCCACCGAACCCAACCCCACATCCCAGTCTTCCGGCATCATCACCCGGTCTAAAAACAATATCTTCAAGCCAAACAAGAAATTTGTGCATCACACCACAAGCCAATCCAAGCCAGAAATTCCACGAACCATCACTCTTGCCCTAAAGGACCCAAACTGGAAAAAGGCTATGGAGGAGGAACTTGCCTCACTTCATCACCTTGTCACTTGGTCCCTCACACCTCCTACGGCTGCCACTAACATTGTCAAATGTAAGTGGGTTTTCCGGATTAAATATACCAAACATGGTACCATAGAACGCTACAAGGCACGCCTTGTTGCTAAGGGTTTCCAACAACGACCCGGGATTGACTACACCGAGACCTTTAGCCCGGTTGTCAAACCCGCCACCATCCGCATTCTTCTCAGTCTTGCTGTTTCACAAGGTTGGTTCATTCGCTAACTTGATATCAACAACGCCTTCTTACAAGGAACGCTCCATGAGGAGGTGTTCATGACGCAACCTCCTGGCTTTGTTGATTCTCTCTACCCGTCTCATATTTGCAAGCTAAAGAAGGCTATATATGGTCTCAAATAGGCCCCGAGAGCTTGGTACTCTGAATTGGCATCATATCTCATTGGTGTTGGGTTCCGAAAATGTGTCTCTGATGTTTCCTTATTTATACTACATCATTCAACCACTCCCATTTATCTCATTGTGTACGTCGATGATATAATTGTTACATCTCCAGATCAAGCATCACTTAACAATTTTTTTTGCAGAATTTCTCCAACAGGTTTTCCTTAAAAGACTTGGGTGACTTGTCTTATTTCCTTGGTGTGGAGGTCATGCCCTCGCCTCAAGGTATTTTCCTCAATCAACGGCGTTACATCATTGACTTGCTCAAAAAAAATGGGTATGCTCGACTTTAAACCAGCTTCCACCCCAATGATTTTGACGGAACATCTTACAGCATCCTCTGGCACGCCACTTGCAGCTCCTAAAGATTACAGGGCTGCTGTTGGCAGCCTACAGTACCTTACTCTTACCAGGCCGGATGTCGCCTATGCTGTTAACAAGCTCTCCCAGTTCATGCATTGCCCGTCATTCGCGCACTGGACTGCTCTCAAGAGGCTCTTACGCTACTTGAGTGGCACTCTTGATAAGGGCATCACCATCTATCGTGATACATCACCTATCTTGCATGCATTTTCTGATGCCGATTGGGCTGGTGATCGTGATGACTACACTTCCACTATGGGTCATGTCGTGTTTCTTGGTCGGACTCCTATCTCTTGGGCTTCCACAAAGCAACGATCCTTAGCCTTCTCCTCTACAGAAGCTGAATACAGGTCAGTTGCAACCACAGCTACTGAGTTACTATGGGTCCGTAATCTTCTCACTGAAATGGGAGTCATGCTGCCCTGCACTCCGGTTGTCTATTGTGATAACCTTAGTGCAACATACCTTGCTGCAAACCCTGTCTTCCAATCCCAGATGAAGCATCTAGCTGTTTCTTACCACTTCATTCGAGACCAAGTTCAGCAAGGTACTCTGCGAATTGTTCATGTCTCGACAGGAGATCAATTAGTTGATTTTCTTACAAAGCTGTTATCCAGACCGCGTCTTGATATCTTACTAACCAAGATCGGCCTTTCGAACCCTCCGTCCGTCTTGCGGGGGCATGATAGAGATACAAGATAATCATCTAGCTAGAGTTATCTTATTCTCATATTCTGTAAAGATAATTAGTTATCTTTTAGCTTTATCATAGCTTCCTTGTTTTGTGTATATTGTTATTATCTTTTGTAATCTTTGCATAGCTCTTAGTTTGTATAAATCTAGGTTGTACACTCTGTTTTAATTAATTAAAATCAATGATATTCATCCTACAGTATCATCTATTATTTGGACTTATGCTGTCTACTTTCTACATGTAGGTGAATTTGCTGCCTTATGGTCCTAATCCTGCTGCCACTGTGCCAAGGACCTTATTCCTGGGGATTTGTTAAACATCGCCCACAAATTACTACATAAAGCCCACAAAATTCACTTGGTTTGCCAAAATTGCCCTTGACCTTAAAAAAAACACTCACACTCTCATCACTCACTCACACTCTCATTGCTCATCTTCTTTCAACCTCTCTAAAAAAAATTTCAAATAACGGCAATGTCGAGGCGGCAAGGCAAGGAATTGGCGGCGGCGGCGGAGGGAAGGATGTCCCAAGGAGGAAAGGTACATTTTGTTAAAAAAAAAAAAAAAAAAAAAGGGAAAAACCGCCGTGACGGCGGTGGGGCGCCCTGGCTGGACGCCCAGCCAGCGGTGGTGGCGCCAGCTGCAGACGCCGCCACCAGTTGGCTGGCGCCTGGGCTGGACGCCATAGCCACGGTTGTGGCGTTTTTTCAAGGCGCCGCAGCCGTGGCTGTGGCATCCTGCCCAGGCGCCAACCAACTGGTGGCGGCGTCTGCAGCTGGCGCCACCACCGCTGGCTGGGCGTCCAGCCAGGGCGCCCCCCCCCTTTTTTTTTATATTTTTTTAAAAAACTGTTTTTAATTTTTTTTTTGTGTAATATATTTTTGAATTGTTTTTATATTTTGTTGTTTATTTTTATAAATTTTTTCAATTTCGTTGTATTTTTTCTACGTTTATATTTTGTTTACAATTATTTGTATGTTTTTAGTTTATTTGATTTGCGATGATGATTATTTATCGTATAAATTTTTG